TTGGAAGTATTTGAAAGTATTTTCTAATTATTTCCTATAAATGCATGGCAGAATTTAAGTATTTGTGTAAATACTGTGTATTTGAGTATTTTCAAATAATGTGGCCTGAGTCAACTTCTTCTATTGGAAGTATTTGAAAGTATTTTCAAATAATTTCCTATAAATGCATGGCAGTATTTAAGTATGTGTGTAAATACTGTGTATTTGAGTATTTTCTAATACATGCCAATTCTTGTATTTGAGTATTTTCAAATACATGTCAATACTTTCCAAGTGTATTTCTAAATACATTCCAATATTCAACTACTTGTTTTCAAATAAAACATATCCAAATACTTACATCCAAATGACTTTGAAAGTCATTGAAATACCCTAAATAGTATTTGAACCCAGGTCTGGTGCACGCGCATGTGTGTTTGTGTGCGTGTGTGTGTGTTCAGTACTTCCCTACGTGTGTCAGTGATTAACTCACAATGGCTCTTTTATCACAGGAATTAATTCTGCGTGACTCAACTGGAATTATGGGTAAATCTTTGTTGACGGAACGCTGTCAACATTAATTTATCCCACAATTAGTCAGACAAGTCGTTAGGATGAGGGGTAATTGATGTGCTGATAGAGAACCTTAATTAGAATGATAAAAGAGAGGAGGAATGATCAGGAGAGAGGAGGAGAACTCGTCTAAGCTTTTAGACAGTGATGGCTGTAAACCGTCATGACAGTATTGAGGCTTTGCAGCATTCAGAGATGAAATGGAGTCATTTCAAGTGTTCCATGTAACCAATGGTTTATTCAATGATGCCAGAGAAAGGGGGCTGTTTAAAATATGTGTGATAACTCTAAATGTGGGTGTACTTGTGCATTGGATTAATTGCAGTATCATTACAGTGCCTTTTGTACATGTATTTAAGGCCCAGTGCAGTCAAAAATGTGATTTTCCTATGAGGTTGGAATAATACTGTGACTTTTTGAAAATGATGATATGCCCTTTTGGTGTAAGAGCTGTTTGAAAAGACCGCCTGAAATTTGAGCCTGTTTTGGTGGGATGGCGTTTTGGCCTGCCTGGTGACATCACCAGGCAGTATAAGTAAATAGACCAATACCAGCTAGTTTTCAGGTTACATATCCCTCCCATTAGGCTCATCCAATTAGGCCCCTCACTCAGACCACTCCAGACAGTCCTAGCAAAATTCTTGCTTGAGAAATTGCTCTTTGCTAAGATGACATAAAAAAAATAAAAATAAAATTACAATTTAAATTGAAACAATCACAGTAAGTTTACCCAGAAATGATTTAATATTGAGATAAAAACTGCTGTATTGGGCCTTTTTAATAGCTAACTTTAAACCATGTAACAATGTTAAAAAGCACTTTATAATCAGACTCAAATAAAGCAATTCAATGTATTGAAGCTGTTCAGCACCACCTCCAGCAATACACTTTAGAGGCTAGAGCTGAATAATGTTTTTCTCCAGCAGTGTGAGAGACGGAGAGAGAGAAGGGAGAAAAAAGAGAGAGAAGAAAAGAGAGCCAGACACAGAGAGAAAGAAAGAGAAGCATAGCGAATAATGGTGAGAGGGAGAAGAGGAACAGTAGTGTGGTATGATCTTTCCATGACCCCTGTCGCCGCACTGCCTCAGTCCAGAGCTGCAGGGGATTTCAGCACTTGGCAGGGAGGAGTGTGAGTGTGTGCACGCAAGTGTTTATGTTCATGGTAAGCGTGGATGTTAGTGTATGTGTGTGTGTTTCTTGTCCCACTGGCTATCATAAGTTGAATGCACCAATTTGTAAGTCGCTCTGGATAAGAGCGTCTGCTAAATGACTTAAATGTAAATGTAAATGATAAGGTTGTATGTGTTAGTGTGTATGTCTTTGAAAGAGCCCCGTTTCCAGTGAATCTACCGCAAAGGGTGAGAGATGTGTAGACAGACAGACAGGTTGGAGGTCAGTGACAGTGGGAATCCTAGCCACATATCACCTCTCCCTATCATTCCAGCTGGGTCCCACCTCACTTCAGGACGGCCCAACCACGTCAGGATCAAAGGCAGGAGAAGAGAGCGGTGTCAAAGTTCATAATGTCGCGTTTTCAGGCGTTTTAACTGTCATATCTCACTACTGTCTGGTCTGATAAGATCTGTAAATTGATGTTCTGACACTTTTTGGTGGGTGTGAGTAGAGAGGTGAGAGGGCTGAGGAGGGAGAAGGAGTGAGGTGAAAGTGGGTGAGGAAGGTGGTGAGAAGAGGGGGTGAGGAGGATGGGTTCCATACAGTACAGTAGAGAGAAGAAAGGGGTGATGAAGGCTGAAAGGGTTCCATATAGTTCAGTATAGAGATACTTCAGACCCAGTGACGATCACGAAACATTCATGCAGTATCCTCCGCGTCCTCCTTCACAGCAGTATACCAGAGCCCTCTACCATACCAGAGTCCTGCTGTGTTGCCCTGCCTCTGCTTCTGGCATTTACATTTGACATCAGAGGGCACGAGTGTAGGCACACTATATACGTGAATCTATCTTCACTTGAGTGATGGGGTTACATACAGGTAACTGCCAAAATAAAATAAACACTTGAGTAAATGAGGGATACAAAGTATACTGAAATCAGGTGCTTCCACGTAGGTGTGGTTCCTGAGTTAATTAAGCAATTAACATCCCATCATGCTTAGGGTGATGGATGAAAATGATGGGCAGGACATTATTTTGGCTACCATGGCTATTCCCCCATAGGATGACAATGCCCCTATTCACAGGGCACGAGTGGTCACTGAATGGTTTGATGAGCATGAAAATGATAATAATAATAATAATAATAATAATGTCATTTAGCAGACGCTTTTATCCAAAGCGACTTACAGTCATGCGTGCATACATTTTTTTTTGTGTATGGGTGGTCCCGGGGATCGAACCCACTACCTTGGCGTTACAAGCGCTGTGCTCTACCAGCTGAGCTACAGTAAACCATATGCCATGGCCGTCTCAGTCACCAGATCTCAACACAATTTATAAGAGATTCTCGAGCGGCGCCTGAGACAGGGCTTTCCACCACCACCATCAACAAAACACCAAATGATTAAATGTATTGTGGAATAATGGTGTCACATCCCTCCAATAGAGTTCAAGACACTTGTAGAATCTATGCCAAGGTACATTGAAGCTGTTCTGGCTCGTTGTGGCCCAACGCCCTATTAAGGTTTTTTCTTTATTTTGGCAGTTATCTGTAGGCACTATTTTGTTAGTTGTTCACACTGTATATGGATACTAGTCTGCGTCAGGAACTATTGTGTGGTCAATCAATCACAATAGCTCTTTGTGTGCATGTGCCTCCCTGCGTGCGTGTGTATTCCTCTAAAAGCAACCTCCTAGATTTACAGTAGATCTTTAACATTCTGTAGTATGTCAATTGATAGCAGTAAGTCTTACTACTTCAGCAGTGTCTCTCTCTCTCTCTCTCTCTCTCTCTCTCTCGCCTTCTGGACTGTCACAGTGTTGTGGTTTCATTCCACTGCAGCCTCTCCTGGTGTAGCTACCTTCATTTGGATATACAGCTCTGTTTTTGTGGTCTGTCTCCATCGATAGTTTTTCCTCCCTCTTGCTGTTGCGGGTAAGGGCTGCCAGTTCCCGAGGGAGAGGGTGTGTCTGTCTATGTACGTGTGTGCATGCATACACATTGGTGTGTGTGTACGTGTGAATGTCAGCCTGCATGCCTGTGCTTGTATGCTTTGTGTGTGTGTGCCCGCCACACGTGTGTGTGTGTGTAAGTGTGAGGTGGTTGCTAAGCAGGAACAGAGAGGAGAGGAAAGGTAGTTTCCTTGTTGCTGCAGTCTGAACACCTCACCTAGTCGTTGTCAAGGGAGACCATCACCATGGTTACCACAGATGTGCGCTCTGGCTGTGCGTGTGTGGTTTTAGATCCTTTCTATACTAATGAGATGGGGTGTTAGCCCTAAACTGACTGATTCCCATGCTTCATTGTGAATGAGAGAAAATCCTACTCATCTACTAATTATGATTCAACATAGTCTCTAGTCTCATTCTCTGGTGGTCGTCTGGAACCAAATAATTGTTAGCCGTTATAAAATGAATACTCCTTTTTGATTGATTGTCTATAGTAAAGAATTGTTAGGTGTTTGTTGAATAAAAACATAGGGCTATGATCATTCTATCGAATCTAAGAGTGCCTTAGTATCAGTTGTATCAATGTAGTCCAGTGATGATGTCTGAGTTAAAAGTTTACATTTAAAGGAAGCTTTGACCACTCTGGGTAATGATATGATTAAAACAAAGGTCCTATATTCCTTTCCATGTTTTACTGAATGTGTGATGTTAGTGGTGGTAGTCACACATCATTTGGAGTTTATATTTCTCCTCAGAATCATTGCCTGTTACACTTTAATTTCTACTCATGTCAGTCTTCTTCTGGGACTGTGTGTGTGTGTGTGGCATTCTCTCTCTCCCGGAGCTGAAGATATTAGAGCTTACTTTCTCTCTCTGCCTGCTGTGGCTCTTGACAGCACAAAGTGGGTCAATGTCACATACACACACACACACACACACACACACAGTGTCTGTCCTTGTTTTGTAACCAGCTATAGAACCGGAAGAGAAGAGGCTAGACCTCCAGGGGGTCTTTATGACAGGAAGGGTCTGGATCTGGGGAACGCTCTGTGTGTGTGGGTGGGTTGGGTCTGGGGAGTTCTCTTTGCTGTGAGGGGAGAAGGAAGGAGCCTCAACAGGTGGCTAAATAAGAAGTTCTGAGGTCTATGATCTAGAGTTATCACTGTGGTCCAGCTGTCTCATGGCAGTCCTCTACGAGTGACTTAATACCTTTTGTATACTACGTTTTAGTTTGTAGTAGCATTGTAACTCTTTTCTCTCTTTCTCTCTCTATTTTCTCCCAGAAGCCCTTGCACTGAGCTGCGTTTCTCCCAGACGACGGCAGGCGATGCATTCCGCCTAGACACCCCCCCACCCTCTTTACCCCGACCAATCCGAGGCAGCCATGGACCCTGAGGAGGCGGAGCTTGGCCAGGAGCTGAGCGAGGACATAGAAGCCGACCTGCCCACTCCTCAACGCCATCGCCCCGACAACCACATCGCCACCAACAACGGTCGTCCCCGGCAGCCTAGCAACCACAGTAGTGAGAACAACAACCACGCTGCTCAGCGCTACAGGAGATATAATGAGGCTCCTGGCGCAGGTGGCAGCAGGGTCAGAGGGGCCCCACAACGCAGGTCAACAGAGGAGCCAGTGGCGGAGCTGCAACTGGGGGCCCAGTCCCCTCCCCAGCCCCAGCAGCAGCAGGCCCAGGGTCAGTCTCAGCCCATCCTGCGGCCTGCAGTGACACGTTACCGCAGACAGGGGGACAGCGAGGCCCGGCTTAGAGCACAGCAGCAGAGACACATACAGAGACAGCAGAGAGAGGCTGAGAGGGTCCAACAACAACAACAACAACCTCTGCCAGCCCCACAGCCTGTTCACTCTCTACCCCCAGAACGAGAAGAGCCAGAGGAGGACGAGGGGGAGAGAGGGAGGGATCGAGAGAGGGAGACAGAGGGGGATAACTCTAAGTTAGCCCGTTCGGCCAGCACGGAGAGCGCTTTCCACACACACACAGACCGGGCGGAGGGCGACGCCGTCATGGCCCTAGATCCTGAGGCAGAGGACGAGGGCGGTACTTACGAGGTGATGCTTCGCCCAGAGGCGGAGGGATACACAGAGAGCGCTGAGTCAGAGCAGCAGCATCCCCACCCTCAGCCCAACCTGAACCTCAACTACCCCCCTCAGCCCCCTCCCTTACCCCAGGAACCCCTACCAGATGTTGGGAGACCCTCCAGTCAGGAGGCGGCAGAGGAAACCCTGAACCCTGGGGGTGGTTACTCTAACTATGTCTACACCCAAACCTCTCAACCGCCATGGGGGAGGGGCCAGGGTGCTGGGGGGGCGGGACACCAGCATCGAGGAAGGATTGGAGCCTGAAGACGAGGCGTATTCTGAAGCCTACCACTACTCCCTGACAGAACATGTGTACGAGGAGATCAGCGACGCCCCCTCTGCCGCCGCTGCTGAGGGGGCGGGGCCTACGAACGCCAATGAGAATCTCCAGCAGAGAAAGGCGGGGTTCCGACTGTTCGAGGGGAGGGACGGGGGTGGGGACTACCGGCAGCAGGAGGCAGTGGGGTCGAGGCTGCACCACTACGACGAGCGCTCGGACGGCGAGTCAGACAGCCCTGAGAAGGAGGCGGAGTTTGCTCCGTACCCGCGGGCAGACAGCTGCGACCAGGACGGTGAAGAGGACATCGACATGATCGTAGCAGAGGTCAGAGAGAGTTCCAGCTCTCAGAGTCTGGAGAGAGCTGCTGCTGGGTTGGCGGAGGGAGGAGATGAAGAAGACATGATGAAAGGAGGAGAGGAAGAGGGAGATTGGCCCGAGTCCCAACACTCTCACAACTCCCAATCCAACACTCCCACAGACTCCAAACACCCCAAGGGAGAGATGGAAAGAGAGGGGGATGAGAGTGAAGGAGAGAACATTCCAGCCCCAGCAGACAGTCCCTCTGAGGACTGGTCTGGGGTTCGTAACAGTCGTGAGAAGAGAGACGCCATCTCCCTGGCCATAAAGGACATCAAGGAGGCCATAGAGGAGGTGAAGACCAGGACGGTGAGGTCACCCTACACCCCTGACGAGCCTAAAGAACCCATCTGGGTGATGAGACAGGACCTGAGTCCCACCGCTGAGTATTGTGACCTGCAGCCCTCACTAGGGGGCGACGTGAGTACTGGTTTTATACAGACTAACACTAATGTGTGTGTGTGTGTGTGGGTTTAGTCACCTCACCTGTGTGTGTGTGCATGCGTGCACGTGCGTGTGTGTATGCGCATAAATGCGTGTGCATGTGTGTGGTCACCTGACACACTGTAATGGAGCTGGTAGCTTAATGATGATGTCAGTCTTATATAAAGATACAGCTTGAGTTACATCCTCAGACTGGTCAGGACAGGAAAGAAGAGGGGTGTCTCTTAATAGTCTGAAGTGGCTTCCTTTCCTTTCCTCGTCTCCTTTCTCTATCTTTATTTATATGAAAAGACAAGATAGGTGAAAGCAATATGGAGGATGCTAACTATGAAATTAGCTCATTTGTCCAGTTCTTTCAAATCACTACAATAGAAGGAGAGGAATCCACTTTAGACTATTGAGATACAGCCTAGGAAAAGGTTTGGTTGTATGTTGAATGTATTGGATCATGATGCAGAAAGGCAACAGCAGAAGAGCTGAATAACACAATATCTCCCTCTGGCTTCAAGACCACAAAATTAGATCCCTCTCCCTCCTTCCTCTCTCCTTCATATCTCTTTCTCTTTCCCTCTTTTCTGTCTTATCATCCCCTTCTCACTTCATATCTCTATCTAGCACTTAATCTCTCTTCCCTCTCCCCCTCTTCCTCCTCATTATCCCTCTTTCCCTCAAAGGGGTTGTTTGTCACATACTGGTGTTGCTTTCTGAGTGGTGGCTGTGTACACTGAGGACAAATGATCCTCCTCTCCTCCCCTCCCCTTTGACTACTGCAGTAGCTATAGAGTGGGTAGGTTGGTTGACTGGTTTGACCAGCGGTCTCATCTCATCAGTATTCCTCCTAGCTCTACGGCTGCACGCCACCTCTCCTCTTAGCTTCTCCACTACACAGTCTTGCAAATGGAGCTGTCCTCGCCTGTCAGACCTAGACAGCCTGACACTGATAAGCGGGGGAAGGGGGAGTAGGTTAAGAGAGGAAGAAAGAAAAAGGGAGGATGGAGAAGAGAGCATGAGAGAGTGAGGGAAGAGTCAGAGGATTGCTGAAGTACATTTCCCTTCCTCCCAGTCCTCTCTCTCTCTCACCATCCATTCCCCCTCCCTCTTTTACTCAGACACACCCACACGTACCCACACACACACTCTATGAATCAGTAGACCGTGTGTGTGAGTTTGGTCATGTGTTTAGGTAGACTCCTGTCTCATTCAGGGAGAGGGCATGCTGATCTGTGCCTTCATGCACATTTATGGTGGTGGGGGGGGGAGGGTTGGGGGTGTCCACTGGAGCTCTTACTCTTCTGTATCACTACCCAGGGGGCATAGTAGTGATGAGAGTGGCTAGTGGATGGATGCACACTTTACTACTGTCACGCTAGCCTGAGAAAACCCCTCCGAGTATAAAAGACTGTTCCTCTTCAAAAGAGGAAGAAATGATAGAGCGATTCTTTGTACTCACTCAGACCTCTGGAGACAACAATGGACTCATGTCTGGGAGCAGGCAGTAATTTGGGTTTTTAGCAAAGTCACGCAACACCGCACACAAACACACTCAAGCTTATCATATTATCCGAAAGATGTGCCGCATCAGGCGGGTGAGCTGAGGTAATGTTTGTTGACTTTTAGTCGTAAGAGCCTGACACTGTCTAGAGATGTGAGGAGCTGATGCCATTGTATCAGATCACACGCATCCCCTGAGAAGGTCAAGGCCATCAGCATAGCGGTCTATCGCATACACACACGCACACATACACACATACACACTATACATAACAAACAGAGCCCTGCTAGATTAGTCTGTCTCCTATCCTGTTGTTGAGAGGCTAATTAATTAGCTCTGTTTGTCTTTGATTAATTTCAGACAGCACAACGTACGTCTGGTTTAGAGCCAACCACCAGCTCTCATGGCGTTAGGACTGCTGCTGGTACCAACGTTGTTATTGTCTTACAGAACCAGGACCTGTCTCTGGTTTGGTTCAGTCCAGAGAGAGACACACAGTATCATTATGTCACGTTTCTTTTTATGTGTGGACCCCAGGAAGAGTAGCTGCTGCTTTTGCAACAGCTAATGGGGGGGGAGGGAGGGAGGGAGGGAGGGAGGGAGGGAGATTGTTTTTTGCCTTCCCCAGGATCATTTATTTAGTGTAGATGAGAGAGTGTGAATAATTCAGAGGGTTTCCAATAACGTTGAAGAGAAAGGCTGTTTTCCTCCACTGCAGGCCTCTGTCTATACACAGACACACACACCCCTCCCTGTGCCTTTCTGACAAGTCCATGGTGAATTCTGATACCTTGTGATACAGGAGTAGAGCAGAGCTCAGCCTTGGTACCAAGCCACCAGAGACTGTAGATACACTACCACTGAAGTACCATGAGAGAAGGTTAGCTAGTTTACCTCATTCAGGTTCTGTATCCACTAGGTAGTGTCTGTTTGTGTGTGTAAGTTAAGGACAGTCTGCATCATAGTTTGACCGTTTCTCAGGCTCAAGGTATGGAGAACTTCTGGGATTTCCAGGTAGACCGTCTGCATGGAAAGCATGGAAACCAGGTTTGTTTGGAGTGAACATTAGTGTAGTTTGGGTGGATGTATACCAAACATTCCTCCTCTGTTGTGCGGTGTTGGACCTGGACTTCTTTTCTATGGACTGTGGATTCGGACCAGTTTTCATTGTGGGAGTTGTTTTCCCTTCAATTTCTCTAAATGTCTAAAATGCATGACAGTTGAGCTGTATGTCTCTGACTGTTAATATCCCAGAGCTTGTGTATGCATTTTGATTTAGCTGTGAAGCTTTGCATAGCGTTGGTGACATCAAAGGCATGCAGTGTAGTTTTCTTTTTTTACATGTTAGCACATCGTTAGCTTTTTACTTTTTTCAAATACATAAATGCTTCAAAATTCTCAAAGTGATATTAGATAATGAAGATTAGCGACTCCTGTGTTTACCACAGACCTTATTTTCTGCGTTTATCCAAAAACCCAATTAATTTCTTCAAAGGCTTTGCCCAACGAGACATGGCGGAGTTAGCCTCCGTAAGTGCCTACAAAAGACTCCATTACAATTGGTCTCTATGGTTGTTGGGGTTTAATTAGTCTGCTAAATGACTAAATGTCTGTGTAATTTGTCACTTTTTTTATCTGGGGGTTTTGAACACTTGGTTCCAAGTACCAGGGAAGCAGCCACTCTCCAAAACCAGGTTGAATAGTTTTAATAAGGCATCCTGCGGCTCAGGAGCACAGTGTTTAAGCATTTCATTCCTGATGCTGTCAGTCTTTCAGTGTTTTCAAAATGCTTCCGTTTCTTCCATCTTAGGTTTTATTTGTATTCTTTAAATGTGTCACAATATTCTTGCCAAATGTCTGTATCTTGTGGTTGGTAATGTTTTTTATTTGATATATACACTACCGGTCAAAAGTTTTAGAACACCAACTCATTCAAGGGTTTTTCTTTATTTTTACTATTTCTACATTGTAGAATAATAGTGAAGACATCAAAACTATGAAAAAACACATATGGAAAAAGTGTTAAACTAATACTATATTTTATATTGGAGATTCTTCAAATAGCCACCCTTTGCCTTGATGACAGCTTTGCACACTCTTGGCATTCTCTCAACCAGCTTCACCTGGAATGCTTTTCCAACAGTGTTGAAGGAGTTCCCACATATGCTGAGCACTTGTTGGCTGCTTTTCCTTCACTCTGAAAGGAAATCATTGATACATTCAGTAATTTATGGGGAGTGCAATGTTGTGTTGAAGTCTGTTGCACTGTCAGGGGCCCATTTGTGCATTTTATTTAGATTAATCAGTGTACAGGGCTCTGTTTGTGTGGTCTTTGGGTGGAGAAGTATTTTTCTTTGTGTGGTCAGCCAATGGTGTCTGTGGTCTGACAGTGAATGCATTAATGGTGGTGGGGGGGTCCAAGTCTGAGATTGCGTATAACAACACTGGTCCCAAGATCTGAGCGATAGGTGAACCTTCCCAAAGAATCTACTCTATTCCTGCCATTAAAAAAAATACAGGCCTATGGCTCGACAGAGAACCAAAATGGAAGGAGTTTTTGCATCACTACCTGCTCAGGGCTATTTCTATTACTAGTGATGGGACTCGGGCATAAGGAGGGATGTCCAAATACTGTATATGTTTATTACCCTCAGGGTCTACACAGTCAGGTTCAGAACCTGTTCTAGCATTAAAATCCCCACATGAAAGCACATTTCCCTCAGCTTGGAACTGGTTGGTTTCTCTTTGGAGATTATTATAAAACTTATCATTCTAAGTAGAATTTGAGTGAGAAGCATAGACTGCACATACAGTATATATAAATTATTGTCACTAAGGATTGTGCTTTTGTTGAGTTTGAACCAAATGTGGGTGTTACCCTTATTGATTTGGTTCAGTGAAAGGTCTTGTATAAGTCTTGTATACCATATGATCAATCCTTCCAAATTATCTTTCTTTCTCTTTCTCTCTATCGCTTTCTCTTTCTCTTTCTTTCATTCTCTCTCACTCTCCCCTCTCCCCTCCCCCCCCCCCCCCCCCCTCTCTCTTCCTCTCTCTCTCTAGTCTCCAGGTTCAGACTCTCAGGCCTCTCCTCAGGGGGCGGAGTCTTCCATCCGGACACCCATGCTTGAAGGGAGTGACAGCTTCGAGTCTCCACCCCTTTCCGCTAAAGAGGTGTGTGCGTGTATGTGCATGTATATGTCCATGTTATGATGTTTACCAGGTAGTGTGACGAATCAAAATGACACTGCATATAGGGCTGTTGCGGTGACCATATTACCGCCACACCGGCAGTCATGAGTCATGACCGCAGTCAAATTCCGTGTGACCGTTGAGTCATGGTAATCTCCTTTTATGCACTCTGGACATGCATTGGTAATACCCAACTCGCTAACGACCATCAGGTCGCTAATGGCCTGGCACTCAGTGCTCTATTGTCCCTCTAACCACGCTGACGTCAATGCAAATGCATTCGAAAATCACATCAAACACTTATCAAAATACTATCATGCTTTTAAAACCTTGAGGTTAAACATTTTGACCTCACTGTGATGATCAATTTGAAGAAAGAAGTTCAACAACAGGTTGAAACGGAGTGGAAAACATGGTCGTTGTGGATGTTGTTTCAGAGCCAAGCTCAACGAAATGTGTAGAACAACATACTTATGCATATGCATATGTCTATATATGAGCCCAATCCCCCCCAAAAAAACTGAATTAAAAGAATGAATGTGCTGTTAGGGCGGCAGGTAGCTTAGTGGTTAAGAGCGTTGTGCCAGTAACCGAAAGGTCGCTGGTTCTAATCCCCGAGCCGACTAGGTGAAAAATCTGTCGACGTGCCCTTGAGCAAGGCACTTAACCCTAATTGCTCCTGTAAGTCGCTCTGGATAAGAGCGTCTGCTAAATGACTAAAATGTAAATGTAAAATGTTATACAATACATAGCCTAATAGCCTACCGCATATTAGCACGCCCGAAAAAAACAGAGTTTTTGGTACATAATTGGTCTAGCTTATGTGGACTGTATTATTATGCATACTGGATGTAGTGGTTGCCTTATATTACACTCAAAACTGTCTATCCATGGGTATGGGAGAGAACGTATAGGCCTCGGTGATGCTGTTGGTTGTGCAGGGAGGCTTACAGAGTTAACCTACAATTATAGTGAATTTGTATTAGATTTTGAATAGCCTAGTAATAGGGCATTTTTTATATTTTCATAATTAATAGGCTGACACCTTTCGCTGCAAAATATCTCACCACCGTGCATTTCCATTTCCTGTCTCTCCTTCATTCCTTTCTCGAGCGCACAGAGGTAGGGGCTGTCAACAGTTTAATTAAATATGTTTTGTTGTGAAATGTTACTATCGATGCCACTATCGGTGGCATTGTCATGCTGGAGGGTCATGTCAGGATGAGCCTGCAGGAAGGGTACCACATGAGGGAGGAGGATGTCTTCCCTGTAACGCACAGCGTTGAGATTGCCTGCAATGACAACAATCTCAGTCCGATGATGCTGTGACACACCGCCCCAGACCATGACAGACCCTCCACCTCCAAATCGATCCCACTCCAGAGTACAGGCCTCGGTGTAACGCTCATTCCTTCGACGTTAAACGCAAATCCGACCATCACCCCTGGTGAGACAAAACCGTGACTCGTCAGTGAAGAGCACTTTTTGCCAGTCCTGTCTGGTCCAGCGACGGTGGGTTTGTGCCCATAGGCAACGTTGTTGTCGGTGATGTCTGGTGAGGACCTGCCTTACAACAGGCCTACAAGCCCTCAGTCCAGCCTCTCTCAGCCTATTGCGGACAGTCTGAGCACTGATGGAGGGATTGTGCGTTCCTGGTGTAACTCAGGCAGTTGTTGTTGCCATCCTGTACCTGTCCCGCAGGTGTGATGTTCGGATGTACCGATCCTGTGCAGGTGTTGTTACACAAGGTCTGCCACTGCGAGGATGATCAGCTGTCCATCCTGTCTCCCTGTAGCGCTGTCTTAGGCGTCTCACAGTACGGACATTGCAATTTATTGCCCTGGCCACATCTGCAGTCCTCATGCCTCCTTGCAGCATGCCTAAAACACGTTCACGCAGATGAGCAGGGACCCTGGGGCCTCCTTAGTGTCCTAAGTTTTCATAACTGTGACCTTAATTGCCTACCGTCTGTAAGCTGTTAGTGTCTTAGTGACAGTTCCACAGGTGCATGTTCATTAATTGTTTATGGTTCATTGAACAAGCATGGGAAACGGTGTTTAAACTCTTTAATATAATATAATATAATATAATATGCCATTTAGCAGACGCTTTTATCCAAAGTGACTTAGTCATGCGTGCATACATTTTTTTTTGTGTATGGGTGGTGCCGGGATCGAACACACTACCCTGGCGTTACAAGCGCCGTGTTCTACCAGCTGAGCTACAGAGGACCACAATGAAGATCTGTGAAGTTATTTGGATTTTTACGAATTAGCTTTGAAAGACAGGGTCCTGAAAAAGGGACGTTTATTTTTTTGCTGAGTTTATATTTAATCCTGTGTTTAAGCAGAGTCTTGATGGTTACCGCTAAAAAGAAGAGGTTCCCAGCTGCTACTATATTTATTTCTCAGCTGCTTTGCTATAAAGCCGGAGTAGCCTACCCGGCATTATTTAAACTGGGGGAAAGGGGCCTCCATTCGCTATTCGAGTGCATACAGATGACATGTATTTTTTCCCCTGCCCCCAGTTCCTACCCATTTCATAATGGGCCATTCTAAATTGAAACATATTTTACATATTAGTAAAGACAAGATTAAATTGAGAATAGTCTGATGGGTGAAAATATGATCACTTGATGAGAGAACAGGGTGTGCAGCCAGAGGCAAAGAACAGAGCGCAAGCTTTTTTTGCGACTTTTTCAAATAGTCAATAGCCTATAGTTGCATCATGCAGCCAATATGTTTTGATTTCTAAGACATTCTGAGGTTTGCATCATTCACAACTACATTTGCCAAATAACTCTAAATCTAGCGTATAGGACCTGTTTCAAATGATCCATTTTATTCTTACAATAAAATAATATAAAATAATGGCACAGGACTTATAAGCATATCTTGTCTGTTAAATGAACTAGCCTACAGCATGGCGCATAGCCAGATAACATACAGTAGGCCGACTCATATTCAGTTCTTTTGAAATACATTTTCTACATATCATAATGTTTCTTTAGACCTACCTAAAATAAATAATGGATTTATTGTGATGGTGTATATTAAATTGATTTATTAGACTTTTTTTTATGTAGATGTTCCAAAGGCGCGCATCAGCGACTTGTATGCATAGAGGCCTGCCGATTCAAAACATGTTTATGTTAATTAACGGGCAATTACCATGAGACCGGCAGTCATTTGCATGACAATAACCGGCTGACAAAATGTCATGACCGCCACAGCCCTAACTGCATACTGACCCCCAATGTGTCAACCAACGTTTCAGTCTGTCTTTCACCAGTGTTATGACAGTGTAATGATGACCATGCCTGTGTGACCCGTCAGTAACGTGTTATCTGTCTCTCCTCTACACCTACAGGCCAGGAGAAGCCTGGCCTCCTTCCCTACCTATGTAGAAGGTAAGACCTGCTCCTGGTCTTTACTTCACTCTCCTCTGCTTTACTTCACTTTGCCAGTGCAGATTTGAATATATTTGAGAAGAGGTTTTCTCTTGTAAATGCTTGGGTGATTTAGCTGTGTTGGGTTATGCTGATGTATAGGCCTACATTTAGTACCAGATCAGCATTTTTAAATGTCATGCAGGGCTGAGAGGGAGGCAGGGACAATTAGAGACAGAGAAAGGGCCTCTAGTGCACCAGTCAAACGCTTCAGTGCGGTCTGTCTTTCTCCTTCTATATCTATCTCTCTCTCTCTCACTCTCTTTCTCTCTCTCTCTCTCTCTCTCTCTCTCTCTCTCGTCTCCCTTCCTCTCCTCTCCTCTCTCTTCTCTCTCTTCCCTCTCCTCTCTTCTCTCTCTCTCTCTCGTCTCTCCTCTCTACTCATCTCATCTCTATGCTCTCTGCTCCTCCTCTCTCGTCCTCTCTCTCGTCTCCTCTCTCTTTCTCCTCTCTTCTCTCTCTCCTCTCGTCTCTCTCCCTCCTCCTCTGTCGTCTCTCTGGTCCAATCTCAATTCCATTCAATTTAAAGTGCTGGGTAATTGCATGGGTAACGTACTGTTAACAGTGCCAAAGCAAGTGAAGTAGATAGTAAACAAAAGTGAAATAAACAATACATATTAACAGTAAACATTACACTCAGAAGTTCCAAAAGAATAAAGACATTTCAAATGTCATATTATGTATATCTACAGTGTTGCATTCTGTGTGTATTAGCTCAGTAGGAGCATTGTGTCTCAAGCCTCTCTAGCACAAGGACACTGGTGACACACACACTTTCTCTCTTTCTGACTCTCACACTCCCTCTCAGCCCCCTTACGATGTGCCAATCAATCCTGCAGCAATCCAAATGTTCTGATTTCTGCATCTTTAGAGTTGAAGTCTTCACAAACATGTTAAGATTCAAACCTTACTGTCCAATATATTCCAAATCATGGCGTTTTAATCTTCCTACTCTCCTACCCCTCCAGTCCCAGGTCCATGTGACCCAGAGGACCTGATTGATGGGATAATCTTTGCTGCTAACTACCTGGGCTCCACCCAGTTGCTGTCTGACAAGACTCCCTCCAAGAACGTCCGCATGATGCAGGCCCAGGAGGCTGTCAGCCGCATCAAGGTGAGGAGAGAGAGAGATTCCATTTTTTTCTTTGTTTTTGCTCTCAATTATGTGTTTGAACATGCTGGGTTGACCCTAATAGACAGTAAAAATTATTTTCTTACAGAGGAACTTCTGGATAGATCCCATTTATTACATTTTAGTAATTTAGCAGATGCTCTTATCCAGAGCGACAGGAGCAATTAGGATTAAGTACCTTGCTCAAGGGTACATCCACAGATTTTTCACCTAGTCAGCTCGGGGATTCGAACCAGCGACATTTAAGTTACTGGCCCAACACTCTCATGCCGCCCAACCTGATTCCAACCTGTCCTTGTACTGTATTATGTTTTCTACCTGGTAATGGATAATATCTAATATCCTGTTTTTAATACTGTCTGATAACACACTGGGCAAAAACTGGTTGCATCAACATTGTTTCCACATAATTTCAACGACAAACAATCTATCTGATTATGTTGAATCAATGTGGAAAACTGATTGGATTTGCAAAAAGTCATCAACGTAAGGGAATTGTCTTTTTTTCACCCAACTGAACCTAAATCCAATGACATGGTGACATTTTTTGTTGATTTCACGTTGAATTCACGTTAGTTGACATCTCAACCAAAGGTAAATCCAAACTAAACGTTGAAATGACATCTGTGCCCAGTGGGAACATACTTCTTCATAACGTCTTTATCACAAGTGATCGAATTGATATCTGTTTTGCATAGAAACATGTTCTATGCTGTGTACGAACCTGAATATGTACAAAGGTCAAGATCTCACATCAGTACATTTCTACCTATAACTGTGTCACTTCCATAGAGAATGATAGAGGACGGTAGTGCCCAAAAGCTTGTTTTAGCTTGGGCTGTGCTATTGAGGACTTTCCCCATTTTGAAGAAGTCAACTGGGTGGGAAGGATCACATAATTCCATCCAGGTCATCAGGAGGGATCAGCCAATTAATTATACTTGAGTAAACATTCCATAACTGCAGGTGGCAGTAAATCGCCAACCTTGGCTTTATACCTGTTCAAACAACACACTCCAGGTGGCAGTATGCACCCTTAAGAGTTTGTTTACCAAGTAGTAGAAGAAGAAAATTGACTACTTAAAAATGGAAATGGCCTCAATCGCGCTGCCCGTGCACTCACAGATGTCATAGGGGGACAGATACATTGAAGAATCCTCTATCATTCTCTATGGTCACTTCCCCTCACTCACTTCCTCTCACATGACCTGGGTCTTCCTGACATCGTCCTGGTTTATCAGCCTCCTGGCGCCCCTCCAGCCCATAGCCCATACTGTAGTGACTCAGCATTTTACATCCCGCCTGATCAAAATGCACTGAGCTGTAGCCCATAGCCTCTATCAGCCCATACTGTACACACACCTAGAGTATGTTCTCTGTTGTTACTCCTGTTCTCATCAGACAGAGCCACCTCTGCACATTCTACTGAATCTTATACTATAGCATCCTTCCTATGTTTCTTCCTTGACTTTTTCCAAATGTTGTTGTTACAGCCTGAATTTAAAACAAATTAATTTGAGATGTCAGTAATCTACACACAATATCCCATAATGTCAAAGTGGAAATGTGTTTTTAGAAATGTTACAAATTAATAAAAAATGAAAAGCTGAAATGTCTTGAGTTAAACACCTTTGTTTTGGCAAGCCTAAATAAGTTCAGTAGTAAAAATTTGCTTAAAAAATCACATAATAAGTTGCATGGACTCACTCTGTGTGCAATAATAGTGGTTAACATGATTTTTGAATGACTACCCCATCTCTGTACCCCACACATACAATTATCTGGAAGGTCCTTCAGTCAAGTAGTGAATTTCAAGCGCATATTCAACCACAAAGTCCAGGGAGGTTTTCCAATGCCTTGCAAAGAAGGGCACCTGTTGGTAGATGGGTAAAAATAAAAAAAAGCAGACTGAATATCCCTTTGAGCATGGTTAAGTTATTAATTACACTGTATGGTGTATCAATACACCCACTCACTACAAAGATAGTCGCCCTTCCTAACTCAGTTGCCAGAGAGGAAGGAAAGAGCTCAGGGATTTCACCATGAGGCCAATTGTAATTTTCAAATGGTTACAGAGTTTAATGGTTGTGATAGGAGAAAACAGGATGGATCAACAACATTGTAGTTACTCCACAATACTCAACTAAATGACAGAGTGAAAAGAAGGAAGCCTGTACAGAATACAAATATTCCAAAACATGCATCCTGTTTGCAACAAGGCACTAAAGGAGTACTGCAAAGAATGTGGCAAAGAAAATACATTTTTGTCCTGAATACAAAGCATTATGCTTGGGGCAAAAACAACACATCTCTTGAGTACCACTCTTCATATTCTCAAGCATGGTGGTGGCTGCATCATGTTATGAGTATGCTTGTCAACGGCAAGGACTAGGGAGTTATTTTGGATAAAAAGAAACAGAATAGAGCTAAGCATAGGCAAAATCCTAGAGGAAAACCTGGTTCAGTCTGCTTTCAAACAGACACTGGAAGGCGAATTTACCTTTCAGTAGGACAATAACCTAAAACACAAGGCCAAATCTACATTGGGGTTGCTGACCAAGATGACATTGAATGGCCTAGTGGCCTAGTTACAGTTTTCACTTAAATTGGCTTGAAAATCTATGTCAAGACTTGAAAATGTCTGTCTATCAATGATCAACAACCAACTTGACAGAGCTTGAATTTGAAAAAGAATGATGGGCAAATATTGTACAATCCAGGTGTGCAAAGCTCTTAGAGACATACCCAACACGACTCACAGCTGTAATTGCTGCCAAAGGTGTTTTCTAACTTGTATTGGGTTGAATACTTATCTAATCAAGATATATTAGTGTTTCAGGTTTCATGAATTTGATATTAGAGTATTTTATGTAAATCATTGCCAAAAAAAAAAGACAATTAAATCTATTTTAATCGCACTTTGTAACACAACTAAATGTGGAAGAAGTCAAGGTGGTTGAATACTTTCCAAAGGCACTGTACCTATTAGTTTACTATGTATTGTAAAGACATACTCAAGATTCCAATTAAGCATGATACACTTTCACATTAACTGAAGACCTCATTAAGTGTATCTTACCATAAATTAATGGTGCAGTTTAATTAAAAAATAGTTATGGTGGTAATAACTGTGTCTAATCCTTTTAGTGCACAAGTGAGCCAACTGCTGGCCAAAACATAACACACTGAACAGTAAAGTAGATATACCATTAGGTACTTTTTTAAAGACTGGTTGACTTCAGACTGGTTGAATCCCAGAATTTAGATGTAAGATATGTTCTAAATTGGAATGTCCCAATGGATGTAATCAATACACACACTGCCACTCAACCCCCTCCCCAGATCCATAGACCTACTACGCCCATGCTACTATAGCCCTGCACTACTCTGACCACACACACAGCTGTGTTTTTGTGAAAGTTCAGGACTTTTTGGAGTGTCACATTTTTTCACCATTACAAATCCTATTTCCCCTAACCCTTAACCCTAAACCCAACACTAAACCTAACCCCTAAACCTTAAGCTTAAAATAGCATTTTACCAAATTCAGGACCTGAAAAAAGTCCTGACTTTTCAAAAAAAGTTATAATTTTCCTACCTTTTCAGGACATTAAGGTGAAATGTGACATTGGGGTCCAGATAATGTAGGAAAACAAGTGCACACACACGGCACACCCTCCCTGAGCCCTGCTTCAGTCTAACCCATTCTCCTGTATGTGTGTTTGTTCCATGCCAAGCAGACGGCCCAGAAATTAGCCAAAAACAAGAAGAAGGTGCGGTACTCCTCATTGATTGGCTGTTCAGTGTTCCGTTGTGTTTTCCTGTGTCTGGCTGTGTCTACGTCCCAAATGGCACCCTATTCCCTATTTAGTGCACTACTTTTGACCAGAGCCCTATGGGCTATATAGGGAATAGGGTGCCATTAGGGACTCATCCTGTGTTGTAAAGCCTCGCCTCTCTCTCTTTTATTTTTATATTTTCCTTATTTTTCCTCTTCTTTTACTCGCTGCATTTTCTGAATCCAGCAACGAAGTCCTATGTGTTAATTTGCAGTCATGTTATGTATTCCATTCTTAGGTCTGTCTGTCAATTAAATCCGTCACCATTTTCTCATTCCATGTCAGACATTCTCTGACTTATCCTCCTACAGAGTTTCTACAAGATACTGACAGGAATACATAGACACATGGACACATGATATAGATGTAAAATGAATAAAAGCTTATACGAGGAGAAACTGAAATTGCTGGAAGCAGAAAATGGCAGTGCAGCCACAATTTTTTTTGTTATACCATGAAGTTGTGTTGTGTTTGTGATCGTACTTGAAGAGGTTTTACTCTGGCACAAGCTTCTGTATTAGTGTGGTATTTCACTGTGGTTGTAACAATTGTAAGGCTGTTAGCACTGTGAATCCTGTGGATGGCTAACATTACACACAGCAGCACCTCTTTCTCTTTTCCAACACAGACCGACTAAGTATTCACTGTAACCCCAAGGTTTCTCAACTCTGGTCCTGGAGACTCACAGGCATCCATCCAGGTTTTCATTACAACCAACACACTCATCACTGTAATACGACTTAATGAAGTGGCCAAAAACCAGTATAACTAGAGTGAAACCCAGCTGACACAGTGGGTCCCCAGGAGGGAAGTTGAGAAACACTACAGTATAACTAATAAGACTAACCCCATTACTAACTCCAGCCTCTCTGCTACCTATGGAGAGGCTAAATTCGACTAACTACTGAACTAACTCTGAATGTCCTGTACAAGCCAGAGTTACACTGAAGGAAAACTACAACTCTGTACACATACACACACACACATACAAGCACAGACACACACTCTACCTGCAACATTCTGAACCTCACCTCAAAGCTTCTGGTTGATTGAAAGTGCTGGTGTCTTCCTTCAGTGTTATCTCTGGTAGTTGTGGACTGTCTCTGACCTCTCAGTCTAGTTGTGGAATGATAATAATGGACTGTCAGCTGTACTGCTCTAATAGACTCAATGCTCAATTGCCATGTTCTGTCTCTGTGTCTTTCTGTCACTGTATGTATCGGTCTGTGTGTGTGTCTAAGCAGGCTCCAGAAGGTGAGGCCCAGCCCATGACGGAGGTGGACCTCTTCATCTCCACCCAGAGGATTAAAGTCCTCAACGCTGACTCACAGGTACACTCTCTCTGTCTCTCTCTCTGTCTGTCTCTCTCTCTGTCTCTCACTCTGTCTCTCTCTCTCCCTCTTGTCCTCGTATGTTGCTCACTTCTCTGTTGACGTTTCCCTCCTCAGGTAGTAACAGTCCCAGCCAGGTTGCCATGGCAGCCAGTGGGCTTAGATTTACCTAGTGGCCGGGCGTGGCTCATTAATCCCAGCGTGGGGCCAATCAGAGGGCCTGGCCACACCAGCCACTTACCTGTACACGTACCCCTGGGATACACTCTCACTACAGCTCTAACTCAATCAATATAGTGTTTCTTGAGAGTCTATTTTTTCACACGACGGCTGATGGAGTTGCTTTGATATTGTAGTAAATAAAAATGGCTTGAGGTGTTATAGAAATGATTTAATAATATTGCATTGGAAATTGATCAGGAAAATTAGATGGTGGTAGGAAAAGGCCTAAACATTCTAGTCAGAGTAAATGGGTTCTTTCTTTCTGCTGATTTGGTCCTGAGTTTCTTCTTTCTGGGCCCTCCCTGTCCTGACCACAGACATAGAGAAGGATTGAATCTGGTAGACATGAAACATATGGTCATTGACCGTCCCCTCTGTGTCTACAGGAGACCATGATGGACCACCCCTGACCATAACCCTATCATTAACCCTTGAACCCTGACCATAACCCTATCATTAACCCATGAACCCTGACCATAACCCTATCATTAACCCTGACCATAACCCTATCATCACCCCTTAACCCATGACCCTAACCCTATCTGTCCTCTATCTACAGGAGACTATGATGGACCACCCTCTGAGGACCATCTCCTACATCGCTGACATCGGCAACATCGTGGTTCTGATGGCGAGACGCCGTATGCCCCGCCCAGACTCCACGGACAGCGTGGAGGCGTCTGACCCCGTCGAGGACGAGAAACAACGCCAGTACAAGATGATCTGCCACGTTTTTGAGTCAGAGGATGTGAGGATCTCTTTACTTTTACTTTCAAACGATGTCTCATCTCTCTTTCTCTCCCTTTCTCTCTCTCCCTCCCTCTCTCCTTCACTTACTCTCTCACTGTCTTTCTCGTTTGTTCATTCATTCTCTGTCACTCTGTATAACTTTCTCTGTATCTTTTGTGCTTACAACCCTTACTTTATATCAGTGTTTCACACACACTCTCTTTGTGGTTACAATTACAACCCCTAGTCTCTCCATCTCTCTCGCTTTCTTTCTCATTATTTTTCTCTCTCTATCTGGATTCGACTCGTCCTGTTGACTGACTCTCAACCTCATTTAATTTTAATGAAGCATTCATTAATCATAATCAAGTCTCCACTCCCTCCCTTACCATCTAATGGTGCATTTCACTTAAGAGTTGTTTTTGGGACACCTGGTGTAACTGGGGTCACACACACACACACACACACACACACACACACACACACACACACACACACACACACACATACGAACACACACACACCTCAGTGTGTGTGCCAGTGATGACAGCACGGTTGACCTTTCCTGTGTCTCTGTGCTCCATTGATTTGAGATCAACTTCAGAAGACAGAGCGGGACTCGGAGAGATGAAACATTCATCTCATCAATATGAAACACTTCTGTCCTGATTGGTTTGTTCTGTTTAAAGCCCCATGCAGTCTTTTTTATTTGAATTTTAAATCATCACTGTACGACTAATAAATCACAGCGTTTATTTCCCCCCCCCCCCCCCCCCGCCTCCCTCCCCCCCCCCCCCCCCCCCCCCTGCCTCCCTCTCTCCCCCCCTCCCCTGCCTGCCTCTCTCCCTCTCCAGGCCCAGCTGATAGCCCAGTCTATAGGCCAGGCCTTCAGTGTGGCGTACCAGGAGTTCCTGCGAGCTAACGGCATCAACCCAGAGGACCTGAGTCAGAAGGAGTACAGTGACCTGCTCAACACTCAGGACATGTACAATGACGACCTCATACACTTCTCCAAGTCTGAGAACTGCAAAGACGTGAGTCTGTTGTAGAATGATGAACTGTACTACAGTACCCATAATGCTCTGTATCTGTGTTCGGTTTTATCTTACTAAAGGCGTTCGTAAAGCTAACACTGTGGTGCCCCTGATTAATACATCTGTTAACCACTTCTACAAGTCTGAGAACGAGTGGGTTGTGCTACAACCCTGGTTTTACGAATGAAGAACAGAGTTCTTACTATGCTATAAACTGTCTCCAGTCAGCAGCACCACTGAATCATTTTTAACCTTGAAACCACCCATGTCCCGTCTTGGCCACTGCAGGCAGTGATTGTTCCTCGGGACCCAGGTTTTGGTTTTTGCCCTAGCACTACACAGCTGATTCAAATAATCAACTAATCATCAAGCTTTGATCATTTGAATCAGCTGTGTAGTGTTAGGGCAAAAACCAAACTGTGCACCCCTTGGGGTCCCGATGACCGAGTTTGGGAAACGCTGCTCTAGACCATGGCGCGTAGTAAGAACTTAAGTTCGAAATGAAATAAAACAGCAAAGATGTGAGTCTCTCAGACCCTGGGATCTCTCAGGCAGGCCTCTGGAGAATTGATCAATTGATTTTATTTGCCAGTTAAAAAAACACAATACATTTTAAAAACAATAACAAATAAAAAGCCACCACACATTGACACTGGTTAGGAACAGTCCCTTTGCCTTCTCTGCCATCCCCGGGCACTGCATGCAGTTGTTGTCATTCCCAGCAGATGAAACAAAAAAGCAGGTGCTGCATTATTTAAATCCAAATAGCTTAGCTATCAAGCCAAACAAATATACTTTTTTATCTCAGTCCTGCAACTTTGTGAGTCAAGACAACCAGATGTAAGCGAACAAAACCCAGAGCAATGAAAACCCCCACAAATATTTTTTTTTAATGACATAGAAAACACAGAAAATAACTAAATATGTACAATATTTACAGAGCTCTCTGCCTAAGCTACCTCACGCTGCCATGGCAGCCACGGAAGTACAACATAGTTAAACAAAGTATTTGTTATTAAGCCAAAAGTAGTGAACTATGGCTGGGTTGACACAGGCAACACAATTCTGATCTTTTGCCCAATTACTGGCAAAAGAGCTGATCTGATTGGCCAATAAAACAATTTGTGGGAAAAAAAGACCAGAATTGGGCTGCCTGTGTAAACGCAGCCTATGTAGAGAGTAGGGTTTGCTCTTTCTTTGGGGTGTAGACCAGGTTACTGTAAAAGCAATTTGTGGCAACTGCTGATGTAAAAAAGGCTTTATAAATACATTGAGATCAACCGATTGATTGATTGATTGACTGATTGTGGGTCTCCCCAGATTTACATCGAGAAGCAGAAAGGTGAGATTCTGGGCGTGGTCATTGTGGAGAGTGGGTGGGGCTCCATCCTGCCCACAGTCATCATCGCCAACATGATGCATGCTGGTCCGTCGGAGAAGTCAGGCCGTCTTAATATCGGAGACCAGATTATGTCTGTCAACGGGACCAGTCTGGTGGGGCTACCCTTGTCTACCTGCCAGACCATTATTAAGGTAACACACACACTCTCTCCTCCCTCTCTTTCTCTCTCTTCATCCATTAGTCTGGTGGGCCTGCCCATGTCTGCCAGAGCATCATGAAGGTACTGGAGGACATGATATCTCTCTTTCTGTTCTACCTCTCTTTCCTTTATTTCATCTCTGCATCCTCTTTCTTTCCTCACTATCTCTGCATCCTCTTTCTTTCCTCACTATCTCTTGCTCCTCTTTCTTTCCTCACTATCTCTGCATCCTCTTTCTTTCCTCACTATCTCTGCATCCTCTTTCTTTCCTCACTATTTCTGCATCATCTTTCTTTCCTCACTATCTCTGCATCCTCTTTCTTTCCTCACTATCTCTGCATCCTCTTTCTTTCCTCACTATCTCTGCATCCTTTTTCTTTCCTCACTATCTCTGCATCCTCTTTCTGTCCTCACTATCTCTGCATCCTCTTTCTTTCCTCACTATCTCTGCATCCTCTTTCTTTCCTCACTATCTCTGCATCCTCTTTCGTCCCTCACTATCTCTGCATCCTCTTTCTTTCCTCACCATCTCTGCATCCTCTTTCTTTCCTCACCATCTCTGCATCCTCTTTCTTTCCTCACCATCTCTGCATCCTCTTTCTTTCCTCACTATCTCTGCATCCTCTTTCGTCCCTCACTATCTCTGTATCCTCTTTCGTCCCTCACTTTCTCTGTATCTTCTCCTCTTACAGTGACGTGTTCTCTTTTATGTGAGAACAGGAATGCCAAGGACAGTGCAGTACACACAGCCAACATCTATACTTGTCATCTACCAATTCTCTTATTAGACTAGTTTCATTCCTACTCCACTTCTCTTCTCTCTCAGGGTCTGAAGAACCAGTCTCGTATCAAGCTGAACATCGTCAGGTGTCCTCCCGTTACCACGGTGCTCATCAGACGACCTGACCTCAGATACCAGCTGGGCTTCAGCGTACAGAACGGCATTGTGGGTATCACCAGGGAGACCATGTGTTGTGTGATGTCATGAGCCCCAAACTTACTGGCCGTTTGACTTTGTCCTCTTTGCTTTGAGATAATAACCTTCTGTTTGTGCATGATAGTTGTGACTCTTGAAGTGATGGGCTCATGCTTTTGCTGAAACTGAATATAACTGAATTTAAGCTGAATAGCTGAATGTAATTGTCTTTTTTGGACCTTCCCCTTCACACCCACAGATCTGCAGCCTTATGCGAGGGGGCATCGCTGAGAGGGGAGGGGTCAGGGTCGGCCACCGCATCATCGAGATCAACGGCCAGAGCGTGGTGGCCACGCCCCACGAGAAGATCGTCCACATCCTGTCCAACGCTGTGGGAGAGGTGAGGTCAGAGGGCAAAGGTCATTCTGAGCCTGTAACTGTTAGCTTAGCAAAGCATTTCAGTTTTGGTGCTAAACCTTCAACCATTGTTGGGTTAGGTTTAGGGTAGTCTCGTGTAGCCATACCTCCAAAACAGTGGAGGCTGCTGAGGGGAGGAAGGCTCATAGTAATGGTTGGAACGGAGCAAATTAAATGGCATCAAACACATGGAAACCATGTGTTTGATGTTGTTGATACCTTTCCCCTTATTTCGCTCCAGCCATTACCATGTGCCCGTCCTCCTAATTAAGGTGCCACCAATCTCCTGTGCTCCAAAATGACGTTGTCAGGCTACCTTTGGAGGTCTGGAGAATTTTGTATTAGCTGAAATTGTTCGAATGGTCCGAATGTTACATTTCAAGAACCCTCCCCCCACATGCCCCTAGAAGGTCTTTGTTATGTTAGTCAGTGTTTTCCGACCAGGTATGACACATTTTGTAGAGCTGGAAAACCTGGAATAAAAACAGAATTCTGTTTTGCCAGAAGTGTGCTCTGTACACAAAATCAAGTCAATGAAAGCATTACAACGTCTCTGCTTGAAAACTCTACTAAAAAAAGAGACGTTATGAGTGGGCACCTTTGGAGCTCCGCCCAAGCAAGGCATTTCATTTGTTTGACGTGTTGCTAGGCGTCACTGATTTTATACTGTGTTTCCACCCATTTTGAGCTGTTTTCTACCATTGACTTCACCAGGCTTTCTGTATATGGAAGCCTGGTTCTCGATGAGGATAGGGTTAAGGTTGGGGTTAGAGTTGAGGTTAGGGTTAGGGTTGAGACTAGGGTTAGAGTTGAACTGGGATGGAGACATGAAGCTAGGGTTAGGGTTGAGCTGGGATGTGGACATGAAGCTAGGGTTAGGGTTAAGGCTAGGGTTGTCTAGTTACTGTATATCTATGATCAGCGTGACTCTCATTCTTCAGCTTTCTGACTTTCTTCATCCTACGCTGTCTTCCACAGATCCACATGAAGACGATGCCAGCTGCCATGTACCGCCTGCTAACTGCCCAGGAGCAACCCGTTTACATCTAGAGATGACCTCCCTCTCCTACCCCTGACATCCGACCTCACCCCCTGATGACCTCACCCCTGACCCCTTATACTGACCCCCAGCATCACTGCACCCTCTGTGTGAGCAACTCCTTCCCCTCCCTCAAACCAATGGAGACTGAAGCTTCTTAATCCTTACGAGTGGACCTATCATATGCTCTGGATTACTATTTTATCCAATCCGATTGTTTTGCTGTGGAGAGTAGTGTTTGGCTGAAAAATACAGCTTGTTCAAGCCCCTCCCATCCCAAGTGTTGCTTCCTGAACTTCGCACTGACCTTCCTTTCTTTCTCATGTTTCTTTCTTCCCTCTCTCTCTGTTTCTCTCTCTCTCTCCCTCTCCCTTCTCTGTCTCTCTCCCTTCTCGCTCTCTCTCTTTCCCTCTCTCGTTCTCCCTCTCCCTCTCTTTCCGGCTGCACTCGTCTGATGTAATGTTGAATACTTCTGTGTTCTCCCACAACACAAACAAAAAGAGAGGGAGTGTGACAAGCATTCCACGTTTCTCCACACACATCTGTTATAGTCAGGCCTCGTACAGGGAAGGCTACAGTACACAGACCAAATTATTTCAAACCTTCCAAGGAATTCACATTCCCTTCTGAAACAACGTGCTGTCCAGGAAAAACAGTTCTACAAGGCTGGAGGCTCAGTTCGGCTCAGCTGGTATTAGACTAGTCACATACTTTTTCCACCCTGGGAAGAGGGGCCTCTGCATCATCAAACCACCATATGTCTTAAGGGTTTACAGTCACTCTGAGACCAGAGCTTAAAGTAACTGCCCAGTGTTTCCAGATTTCTATGAAATATGACCAATAATTACAATATAAGTGAAATAGTTTATTTCAAAATATGGTAATTAGTATGTTAAAAAGCAGCTTTTCTGAGTTGGAATGGTGTGGGCGTACCCCAACAACAGAATGGTGTGGGCATATACCAGTCATTAAAAATATTCCTGCAAGTAGGCCGCTGATTGGCCAGCTCATCCTCCTCAGGGAGATACATCTATGAGAAAATAGCAAGCATTTTTGAAATGGTCTGTTTGAGATACAAGTTTGAGATGGGGTTTTTGAAGTGTTTTTTTTTCTCCAATTTATGCTTTGGACACATACGAGTCAACAACATTATTTGGATATGAGTTAACAGAATATTAACTTTTAAAAGAGAGATTTTAACTGGGCAGTTACTTTAAGCCATACGTTACATTTCACATAGTCTGCGTCCCAAATGGCACCCTATTCCCTATAGTGAACTACTTTTAAGCAGGACCCATAGGGCCTGGGTCAAATGTAGTGCACTATGTAGGGGGGATAGGGTGCCATTTGGGACGCATACATAGAGGTTCTGTACTAAAGGCTGTGGTGGTGGAATACTGTAGAAGCTAAAACTGTTCAGATCCATCTTCGTCTGAGGAGAGAGAGCAGAGGTCAACCAGATGTGGATAGAATACCTCAGACTTTGGCAACAAGTTGAAGTTCAGGATTTAAAAACATATTTGCGATCAGGAAAGTTGGATTAGATTGTGTTACAGTACAACCTGAAAAACAACCTGCAATGAAATTATTTTATATTTTAGTTCATTACCGAGGATTTTACATTCCTCTGTATTATTTAATATATTTTTTTTTGTCTTGAATATAATCTGCAACATTTATGCCAGACCATACTGTAATTCTGTTTATTTTTTTATTTTTTTTATTTTATTTCACCTTTATTTAACCAGGTAAGCCAGTTGAGAACAAGTTCTCATTTACAACTGCGACCTGGCCAAGATAGGGCATAATATTGCATTGCATTTGGATCTGTCTTTATACTTGAAGAATGCTTATCATAGTACAGGAAATGGGCCATTATTTTGTTTAAAAAACATTATTATTTTATTTTTAGATATTTTTATCTCGCAAATGTGACGAAATGAAAGTACTTTGAGTCAACATATCTTACAGTTCCCTGGTGTATATGATTCAAGTCCTCAAATGTATCTATCTCGGCTGCATAAAGTGGATAGAAGTTCCCCTCCTGTTTGTGTTGGGCCCCCTGCCTTTCTGACTAGAAGTGATTAGAGGCTACAGTGTTTTGAGACTAGGAGCTCGATTGTTTGGAGGCCCTGTAGCTCTACTCTGGGACTGTAGCGTACTTAAGGATCAGATCGAGTTATTTTAGAATGTTCTAAAATGTAATTCTGTAATGTCTAGAACTCTAGACGATAAAAAAAACGAATTCCAGGAAGCTTCCACCTTGTTTAACGTGTATGAGCTTTGACCTTCTGCCCAGATAGCCTCTCCCTCACTTCGTGTCTCCCGTGTCACTTCCTGCTTGAGACACGCCCCCTCTGGACTCGCGTTTACAAACTGTCATGGGATAGTTTCCGGGTTGTGGAGTGGACACACATTATGTCGCAACACTGACTTGTGGAGGGAACACATTCTGTTGCTACACTGAGTTGTGGAGGGGACACACATTATGACGCTACACCTCTGTACTGAGCATTGCTAGTTGCTGCTGGAGCACCCTGCCACCTGGGCTTGTGTGTCACACGTTGACCCTGCCCTACTCCCCCCTCTAAACCATTGATTGTTCCAATTGTCTATTCTATCTCATCCCAAAATCTCATATTGGCCTTATTACTGTACTTTTTATGATATTGAACTACTAAATGATACTGAAAAAGTTGTTCCTGTACGGTCGACCATATAATGTTCTAGCATGGTTTATCTATGGAGTCACCGGTCGGTTGGTCGGTAATATGCTGTATCATTCCTGCTTCTAGTGTGTGTGGTGTGTAATGACAACTTCTTTACTCCATGTTAAACCAAAACCAGCTGGAATACATAATATATACATAAATATATATAAATATAAAGGTATATATACTTCTAATGGTTATTTGGTGTGTTTGGATTGACCATATAAGCAAGCTTCAATGAATAACAAGTAATGTGAAAAGAGAATTCAGACTGATGGCAAGGGCCCTTAATGTGACTCTGAAAGAAGTGGTTTCATATGAACTATGATTGTGTGAAAAGACATAACTGTACATAGTTGACTAGCGCACAAGGTAACGAACACAGGGGTGTATTGCTATAGACCTCCCCTCCCGTGTTCGGGGATAGTAGACTATTGTGATGCAACAAAGTTTTCCTTTGTAAAGAGATGGGGAGCAAACATACACTTGAGTAGGTGGGATAACTAGTGTTTATAATGCACTGTTTTGAATGTAATTAATCTTTAAAAAATATCTAAAGATAAAAAAAATACACTTTCTGTAAAGCTGTGGCAATGTTTATTTATTTGCTAGCTTTTCTGTGATGTTAGTTATTGAACTACATTACCTTACCAGAACTGGAATGTTTGTAACGGTATTTACAACAATAAACTACTTGCAAAAGGACTGTACTGTTGTCGCTTTCTTTTTTTAAAGGTATTGCTTAAGGAGTCCCACTCCTTTCGTATTTTTTTTCACTTTATTGAAGAGGTAGTACAGTGTGAAAGATGGGGAAGGGTGAGTCAAAGGGCAGTGGGCCCGATTCTAACCCATGCCGACTGGCATACATGTGTGCCTGGGTCAGCGGCTGTAACCGCTGGACCAAACAGACCACTTGTTGCTTTCTAAGGCCAGGATTCAATCCAAGGCGTGTTATAGAGCAGTGCACTGGACAGCCGACAATGTGCCTTTTAAAGGTAATTTTAGGTTGAGAATATCCACAGCATTTACCATGAATGCCATCTCAGCTAACGTTAAGGACATTGCCTTTAAAAGGCACATTGTCGCTGTCCAGTGCACTGCTCTATAACGCGGATTGGGTTGAATCCCAGCCTAAATGATGCAGTTTGATTAAATGAATTGAAGCTAAATTTAGCATCCCAACACTCTTGTATTGCAAGTCCAGTTTAATTCATATTGAACATTTCATATGGACATGATTTGAAACATTACAGGCAGCAGGGGTAGAATTTTCCTGGGTAGCTAGTGAAGTGTAGCGAGAGACTCTTCCTTCCATAGACTCTCACATGCAGCTCTCCTTCAAGTTATGCCTAAATTCAATCTTGTTTTTGCGCGATTTACATTTGAAGGTAATTTTCGATTGAGTAGACATACAGTACCAGTCAAAAGTTTGGACACACCTACTCATTCCAGGGGTTTTCTTTATTTTTACTATTTTTTACATTGTAGAATAATAGTGAAGACATCAAAACTATGAAATAACACATATGGAATCATGTAGTAACCAAAAAAGTGTTAAACAAACCAAAATATATTTTGTATTTGAGATTCTTCAAATAGCCACCCCATTGCCTTTGCCTTGATGACAGCTTTGCACACTCTTGGCATTCTCTCAACCAGCTTCATGAGGTAGTCACCTGGAATGCATTTCAATTAACATGTGTGCCTTCTTAAAAGTTAATTTGTCAAATTTCTTTCCTTCTTAATGCGTTTGAGCCAATCAGTTGTGTTGTGACAAGGTAGTGGGGGTATACATAAGATAGCCCTATTTGGTAAAAGACCAAGTCCATATTATGGCAAGAACAGCTCAAATAAGCAAAGAGAAATGACAGTCCATCATTACTTTAAGACATGGTCAGTCAATACAGAACATTTCAAGAACATTGAAAGTTTCTTCAAGTACAGTTGCAAAACCATCAAGCGCTATGATGAAACTGGCTCTCATGAGGACCGCCACAGGAAAGGAAGACCCAGAGTTACCTCTGCTGCAGATGATAAGTTCATTAGAGTTACCAGCCTCAGAAATTGCAGCCCAAAGAAATGCTTCACAGAGTTCAAGTAACAGACACATCAACATCAACTGTTCAGAGGAGACTGTGTGAATCAGGCCTTCATGGTCGAATTGCTGCAAAGAAACTAATACTAAAGGACACCAATAATAAGAAGAAACTTGCTTGGGCCAAGAAACACGAGCAATGGACATTAGACTGGTGTTAATGTGTCCTTTGGTCTGGAGTCCAAATTGGAGATTTTTGGTTCCAACCGCCGTGTCTTTGTGAGACGCGTGTGGTTGAACGGATGATCTCTGCATGTGTATTTCCCACCGTAAAGCATGGAGGAGGAGGTGTTATGGTGTGGGGGTGCTTTGCTGGTGACACTGTCTGTGATTTATTTAGAATTCAAGGCACACTTAACCAGCATGGCTATCACAGTATTCTGCAGCGATACGCCATCCCATCTGGTTTGGGCTTAGTGGTACTAAGTTTTTCAACAGGACAATGACCCAACACAAATCTAGGCTGTGTAAGGGCTATTTGACCAAGAAGGAGAGTGATGCATCAGATGACCTGGCCTCCACAATCCCCTGACCTCAACCCAATTGAGATGGTTTGGGATGAGTCAGACCGCAGAGTGAAGGAAAAGCAGCCAACAAGTGTTTGGCTTATGTGGGTACTCCTTCAAGACTGTTGGAAAAGCATTCCAGGTGAAGCTGGTCGAGAGAATGCCAAGAGTGTGCAAAGCTGTCATCTAGGCAAAGGGTGGCTATTTGAAGAATCTCAAATATAAAATATATTTTGATTTGTTTAACACTTTTTTGGTTCCCACATGATTCCATATATGTTATTTCATAGTTTTGATGTCTTCACTATTATTCTACAATGTAAAAAATAGTAAAAATTAAGAAAAACCCTTGAATGAGTAGGTGTGTCCAAACTTTTGACTGGTAGTGTATGTAGTGTTTACCGCAAATGTGGAAACGTTGCCTTTGAAAGATGCATAGCTGAAAAGGGGCGATTGGATTGAATCCAGCCCTTATTGTTCAGTGCAACATGGCTGTCTAGCAGGGCCGTGCACAGACCTTTGTAGAAAAAAAATGACTTTCATCATTCATATCTCGAAATTCATGACATTATTATATTTGTTTGTTTGTTGCATAGGCCTATTTATTTCTGCAACAACACAATCATCACAAATTGTAAGCAAGCTAGTTACAGAGTCTCCTAAGAGATGATTGACATTGGGAAAAGAAGGTGGGCTATCAGCTGATCATTGTTGATGATTGATGTAAATCTGCTAGTTAGCTAGCTTGATTTATTTTTTACTGATTGTGATCGGTAAATGCTCTTAAATTATTAAATAACTTCATAATAGAATATTCATAATCTAACTCATGATACAGTATACAGTGAGGGAAAATAGTATTTGATCCCCTGCTGATTTTGTACGTTTGCCCACTGACAAAGACATGATCAGTCTATAATTTTAATGGTAGGTTTAATTGAACAGTGAGAGACAGAATAACAACAACAAAAATCCAGAAAAAGCACATGTCAAAAATGTTACAAATTGATTTGCATTTTAATGAGGGAAATAAGTATTTGACCCCTCTGTAAAACATGACATAGTACTTGGTGGCAAATCCCTTGTTGGCAATCACAGAGGTCAGACATTTCTTGTAGTTGGCCACCAGGTTTGCACACATCTCAGGAGGGATTTTGTCCCATTCCTCTTTGCAGATCTTCTCCAAGTCATTAAGGTTTCGAGGCTGACGTTTGGCCACTCGAACCTTCAGCTCCCTCCACAGATTTTCTATGGGATTAAGGTCTGGAGACTGGCTAGGCCACTCCAGGACCTTCATCTGCTTCTTCTTGACCCACTCCTTTGTTGACTTGGCCGTGTGTTTTGGGTCATTGTCATGCTGGAATACCCATCCACGACCCATTTTCAATGCCCTGGCTGAGGGAAGGAGGTTCTCACCCAAGATTTGACGGTACATGGCCCCGTCCATCGTCCCTTTGATGCGGTGAAGTTGTCCTGTCCCCTTAGCAGAAAAACACCCCCAAAGCATAATGTTTTCACGTCCATGTTTGACGGTGGGGATGGTGTTCTTGGGGTCATAGGCAGCATTCCTCTTCCTCCAAACACCGCGAGTTGAGTTGATGCCAAAGAGCTCGATTTTGGTCTCATCTGACCACAACACTTTCACCCAGTTCTCCTCTGAATCATTCAGATGTTCATTGGCAAACTTCAGACGGGCCTGTATATGTGCTTTCTTGAGCAGGGGGACCTTGCGGGTGTAGTGTGTTACCAATTGTTTTCTTGGTGACTATGGTCCCAGCTGCCTTGAGATCATTGACAAGATATTCCCGTGTAGTTCTGGGCTGATTCCTCACCGTTCCAATGATCATTGCAACTCCACGAGGCGAGATCTTGCATGGAGCCCCAGGCCGAGGGAGATTGACAGTTCTTTTGTGTTTCTTCCATTTGCGAATAATCGCACCAACTGTTGTCACCTTCTCACCAAGCTGCTTGGCGATGGTCTTGTAGCCCATTCCAGCCTTGTGTAGGTCTACAATCTTGTCCCTGACATCCTTGGGGAGCTCTTTTGGAATCTGATTGATTGATTGCTTCTGTGGACAGGTGTCTTTTATACAGGTAACAAACTGAGATTAGGAGCACTCCCTTTAAGAGTGTGCTCCTAATCTCAGTTTGTCACATTTACATTTACATCATTTAGCAGACGCTCTTATCCAGAGCGATTTACAAATTGGTGCATTCAACTTATGATATCAAGTGGGCCAACCACTTTTTTTTAATTTTTTTTATGGGGGGTGGGGGAAGATATATGTATAAAAAACACCTGGGAGCCAGAAATCTTTCTGATTGAGAGGGGGTCAAATACTTATTTCCCTCATTAAAATGCAAATCAATTTATAACATTTTTGACATGCGTTTTTCCGGATTTTTTTGTTGTTATTCGGTCTCTCACTGTTCAAATAAACCTACCATAAAAATTATAGAATGATAATGTCTTTGTCAATGGGCAAACGTATAAAATCAGCAGGGGATCAAATACTTTTTTCCCTCACTGTATGGCTGGCAAGTGGCTTGTGTGGATATTTTAGTATATGGTGGTTAGCTACAGACTACAGTGTTGCTGCTGCACATATCAGCCAACCAGACCGAATATTGATGATGATGTAAATCAAGTGACAGGGCAGACTGGGAAACAGGCACAACCCGGGCGCACGCAAGTACCGTACAAGGCAGACCAACAGGCGCAACCAACAGACCTTTTTTGAAACCTTTCATTCTATGGCTCAGTATAAGGTGGCCCAGATAATCTCTCACAATGCAAACAACATCTGTATGGCCCCGTGTAGCTCAGTTGGTAGAGCATGGCGTTTGCAACGCCAGGGGTGTGGGTTCGTTTCCCACGGGGGGCCAGTATGAAAAATGAATGCACTCACTAACTGTAAGTCGCTCTGGATAAGAGCGTCTGCTAAATGACTAAAATGTAAAATGTACTGTACATATACCGGTAAACTTCAACAGTATTAGCACAGCACAAATAAAAAAACACACATAAATCAAATTTTACGAATACAATTGCTTACTTATAAGCCCTTAACCAACAATGCAGTTCAAGAAATAGAGTTAAGAAAATATTTACTAAATAAACTAAAGTACAAAATAAAAGGTTACACAATAAAATTACATAACAATAACGAGGCTATATACATGGGGTACCGGTACTGAGTCAATGTACGGGGGTTAGTCGAGGTAGTTTGTACATGTAGGTTAGGGTAAAGTGACTATGCATAGATAATAAACAGTGAGTAGCAGCAGTGTAAATAGTCCGGGTGGCCATTTGATTTACACTGATTCCCCCCCCCCCCCCCCCCCCCCCCCCCCCTCTTTGTTTTTACACTGCTGCTACTCGCTGTTTATTATCTATGCATAGCCACTTTACCCCAACCTACATGTACAAACATACAGACTCACTCTCATACACAACTTAGGCACACACTCACACGCAGCCTTTCCAAAGGCTAGTACTTGCAGTCTGTGGGACTCTGTTTCAGAGTTCTTTAGAATGGCTTTTCTCCACTAGCTTTAGCAGTGGCAGTCCCAAACCTCACCACTAGTAGGCGCACTTCCCTTGGAGTCAATGGGCTGATTTCCCCCAGTGGACCATACCATTTTGTCTCTGCTAGGGAGGTTTTGAGGTGGGATAACAGGGTTCCATCAGAGCACAGTTTCCCTGAACACCCCTATGAGACTGTGGGGGCGCTCATGATGATCCAGGTGTGAGCCCGCCCGTGCCGTCGACATAGAACCGACTCTAGAACCCGCTCTAGACCCAGCTTTAGACCAGGACCTGGAGCCAGAGCCACCACCCTGCCTGGCCTCTAGTTGCTGCTGTTCCACCCAGGTGAAGGTGCTGAGGTCCCCACAGCTCCTGAGGTGCAGCAGTCCGGGTCTCTTCTGGAGGGGCTGGGGCAGGGTCTGGGAGGAACAGTCCAACAGGGGGGCAGAGGGTCTGGAGCGGGGCCTGGGGAGGGACAGGGGCTGGGGGAGGGCTGGAGCTGGGGCTGCTGCTCTCTCTGATACTGTGATCACCTGGAGAGGAGAGGAGGATATAATGACCCAGTTTAAAGGGATAGTTCACACATAAATTCACTCAAATGTACAGTTGAAGTCGGAAGTTTACATACATCTTAGCCAAATACATTTAAAATCAGTTTTTCACAATTCCTGACATTTAATCCTATTACAAATTCCCTGTCTTACATCAGTTAGGATCACCACTTTATTTTAAGAATGTGAAATGTCAGAATAATAGTAGAGAGAAGGATTTATTTAAGCTTTTATTTATTTCATCACATTCCCAGTGGGTCAGAAGTTTACATACACTCAATTAGAATTTGGTAGCACTGCCTTTAAATTGTTTAACTTGGGTCAAACATTTCCGGTAGCCTTCCACAAGCTTCCCACAATAAGTTGGGTGAATTTTGGCCCGTTCCTCCTGACAGAGCTGGTGTAACTGAGTCAGGTTTGTAGGCCTCCTTGCTCGCACACACCGTTTCTGTTCTGCCCACATATTTTCTATAGGATTGAGGTCAGGGCTTTGTGATGGCCACTCCAATACCTTGACTTTGTTGTCCTTAAGCCTTTTTGGCTAACTTTGGAAGTATGCTTGGGGTCATTGTCCATTTGGAAGACCCATTTGCGACCAAGCTTTTACTTCCTGACTGATGTCTTGAGATGTTGCTTCAATATATCCACATAATTTTCCTTCCTCATGATGCCATTTATTTGGTGAAGTGCACCAGTCCCTCCTGCAGCAAAGTACCCCCACAGCATGATGCTGCCACCCCCGTGCTTCACGGTTGGGATGGTGTTCTTCGGCTTGCAAGTTCCCCCTTTTTCCTCCAAACATAACGATGGTCACTATGGCCAAGCACTTCTATTTTTGTTTCATCAGACAGAGGACATTTCTCCAAGAATCTTTGTCCCCATGTGCAGTTGCAAACTGTAGTCTGGCTTTTTTATGGCGGTTTTGGAGCAGTGGCTTCTTCCTTGCTGAGCGGCCTTTCAGGTTATGTCGATATAGGACTTGTTTTACTGTTGATATAGATACTTTTGTACCTGTTTCCTCCAGCATCTTCACAAGGTCCTTTGCTGTTGTTCTGGGATTGTTTTGCACTTTTCGCACCAAAGTATGTTAATCTCTAGGAGACAGAACGCGTCTCCTTCCTGAGAGGTATGACGGCTGTGTGGTCCCATGGTGTTTATACTTGCGTACTATTATTTGTACAGATGAACGTGGTACCTTCAGGCATTTGGAAATTGCTCCCAAGGATGAACCAGACTTGTGGAGGTCTACCATTTTTTTTTTCTGTGGTCTTGGCTGATTTAATTTGATTTCCCATGATGTCAAGCAAAGAGGCACTGAGTTTGAAGGTAGGCCTTGAAATAGATCCACAGGTACATCTCCAATTGACTCAAATTATGTCAATTAACCTATCAGAAGCTTCTAAAGCCATGACATAATTTTCTGGAATTTTCCAAGCTGTTTAAAGGCACAGTCAACTTAGTGTATGTAAACGTCTGACCCACTGGAATTGTGATACAGTGAATTATAAGTGAAATAATCTGTCTGTAAACAAATGTTGGAAAAACTTACTTTTGTCATGCAGAAAGTAGATGTCCTAACCAACTTGCCAAAACGATAGTTTGTTAACAAGACATTTGTGAAGTGGTTGAAAAACGAGTTTTAATGACTCCAACCTAAGTGTATGTAAACTTCCGACTTCAACTGTATCTCTTCTTATCTCCTCTTTCTCACCTACTCATCCTTCTCACCCCCTCTCCCTCCATCCTCCACTCCTCTACCTGTTCTAACTGTTCTATGTACCTTCTACCTCTTCTATGTACCTTCTACCTGTTCTATGTAGCATCTACCTGTTCTATGGAGACCTGTGCAGAAAATAGTTGTATTTTGTAGTTTATTTGAAAATACCAACTTTTCAAATACTTGAAGTAGACGAATATAGTTTATATAGAGTTTAAACTAAAAGGCAACTATTTTCTTTGATATTCATACAGGTCTCAGAAAACCAAATCATCTTTGAAAGTATTTTGAAAACCAAAAGCTACAACAGTTAGTTGAATTTGTCTAAATATATTATCATTAGCACATGGTTTGGAGGGCTCTCAGATATGAATCTTAATATAGCGTATAGCCTACAATTAAATACATGAGGGACATGGAATCACCTCACCATTAAAGTAGGCCACTTTTGCAGCTTCAAAATGACTAACACATATATTTTCATAATGAGTTAGACACTTAATAGAGTAACACTTGACATCAAGTTCTTATACATGTGTAGTAACTTTGTGATTATTACAATAGCAACATTGTTGTTAAGTATGACTTTGGAAATGGCTTTATAATGGCATAATAATGGCGTTATTACATAAGTGGAATAAGGAACAGTCACTATTCCTTGTGTACAGTACTTAAAAACTCTCAGCTCATTATGCAATAACCAAAGAATGATGTAGCATGCTAATAAAATGTTGCTCCAAAAGTAATTACAGCTTTATTACACAGGCACAAGAACAGTTTAATGTTAAGTGTTACTGAGAACGCTAACAGTAACAAAATATGGCTAAGTGTTGAAAGGAAACAAAATATCCCATTTAAAGAATATTTAAAAAATGTAATGAACTACAGCCAAGGTAGGGGGAAAATGTGTTAGTTTGTATTCTGAGTAATCTATCCTTTTAAAGGTGGTATAGTGTGTGTTTGAAATAAGAACACTTGCCCTCAGATGGACAGAGGTTAGAAGTTGATTTAGCTAATAATCCAACTTGCTATTTGCAATGTTTTAAAATAGCTTTTGTATAACATATTTATACTTATCTTAGCAAAATATCATTGGTTAATTCAGAGTTTCCCAAACTCTGTCCTAGGGACCCCAAGGAATGCATGGTTTGGTTTTTGCCCTAACACTACACAGCTGATTCAAATGATCAAAGCTTGATGAATAGTTAATTATTTGAATCAGCTGTGTAGTTCTAGGGCAAAAACCAAAATGTGCACTCCTTGGGGTCCCGAGGACCGAGTTTGGGAAACTGAGTGTGGGATGAGTGTCACAACTTATTTATACTTATCTGTACAAAATATAATTGGTTCATTGGTTTGACTTGATTATGTACACCTGGGGCAATAGACATTCAGGAGACTAGATATTTACAGAATGTTCAGATAGAAAAGTATTGTGTAGATCAAATATGACTAAGAAAGATTGGAGATTTTGTTAGCTATTCATTCTATTTCTATCTTCAACATGCAGTTGCAGATACAGCCCTGCCATTAGTTGAAGGCAGCAAACCCAATAGCTTCAGAAAAGTATTCACTTCATGAGATCTGTATAAAAAAAAAAAAGTAGTTGCGTTCTCAGATCTGTATTCAAATAGTTTAGAAAAAGTAGTAACTTTCTGAGATCTGTATTCAATAGTTTAAAAAAGTAAAAAAGTCATTTGTAGTCTATTTGTTCCCCCATTATTTTTTTTTTTTCCACGAAGCATAGGTAAAACTATAGTTGTCCCAGGTCTGGTTCTATGTATCCTCTACCTGTTTTATTTAGCCTCTATACCTGTTCTATGTAGCTGGCACAGCGTACGGCCTCCTCCATGTGTTCCTGGTCGGAGCGCAGCACACTGCGGATGCTGTCCACCAGTTCCTGGACCTCAGGGGTCAGGCTGCAGTGGGCCGGCTGCTCCAGGAACCTACTGACCAGCTCCTGGGTGTGTATGTAGCTCTGGTAGTCCACCATGGAGGAGGGCCGGGGCCGCTGAGGGCCTTTACCTCCCCGCCGGAGGGTCACTGTCTGGGTCCGAGAGGACTGGGCGGCCAGGGCGGACTGGGAAGTCTGGGTGGAAGTCTCGGTGGTCTGCGTGGCCGCCTCACAACTTAATACTGAGGAGGAGAGGGTGATAGGGGGTTAGTGTGTCTGTACACTGGCATGCAGTTGGACATCTGTTGGAAGCGTTAGCTATGAGGGAGGTCACACGCACGCACACACACACACATACACACACACACACACACAATCACACACACAATCACGTCTTTATTGCAGTCATGCTGAGTAGATGATCAGATCTCACTTCTAAGGAATCAAACACGACATTAGCCTATGACAAAGCATTCTTCTAAGATATCACAAGTGACTAGTGAATGGTCAGTGATGACTTCACTAGTCTAGGTGTGCGTCCTCAATGACACCCTATTCCCTAGGATCGATGAGGCTGAAACAAACCTTTGAGGATCCAGCAACGTATGTCAATACGAAGACCGACTCTTAATCTGTGTCTGGGACGCCGGAATTATGAGTTTTTGATGTCAGTAACTCCACTCCAACCATGTTCAGTGATGCAGGGGCTGATCAAAAGTAGTGCACTCTATAGGGAATAGAATGCCATTTGGGCACAGCTAGGCATCTATTTCACTAAAAAGAGAAGACATTTTTCAAATCTGAATTCTTTGTATCTCTTGTTACAAAGACATTCTGAAGAATTCAAATTAGTCAAACGTCTTTGGAGTTATGATTCCTAGTTAGGGTGCTTCCATGGTAATGTATGCGTTGTTCCTCAGGCCCTAGAGTCAGGTCCCTGGCTCTCAGCTATGGACTGCTGTGTGTTCTCTCAACATCTCCCTGCGTCTGGCCCACTGTGAGTCTAATGACTTCTATGTATAGTGTGTGCTTTTTTAACTATAGGTCTACATACTGTATAGAAAAGTAGCAAAATGAAGACAAAGAGAAATCTCTCGCACAATGAAGATAAATAACACAGGACCAGTTCTAGCAGGGCAGAAATTTGACGAACTGACTTGTTGGAAAGGTGGCATCCTATGACAGTGCCAAGTTGAAAGTCACTGAGCTCTTCAGTAAGGCCATTCTACTGCCAAAGTTTGTCTATGGAGATTGCATGGCTGTGTGCTTGATTTTAAACACCTGTCGGCAACGGGTGTGGCTGAAATAGCCAAATCCACTTGAAGGGGTGTCCACATACTTTTGTATATATAGTGTAAATAGTTTAATAGCCTACAGTTTTCTTGGCATCTTTGTTTTAATTATTGTCATAGGCTCTTGTTCTACTGGTACGGCGTACCCCCAAAGTAAGCCGGACAGTACCGGCTTACTTTCACCTCTGGTGTGTGTGTGTGTTTGTACAGTGTACATGCGTGTGTGTGGAGGATCAGCTAACTGTGCACTCCAATGAAGGGAAAGCAATTCACTTTTTTTCTCATCTCTGTCTGAAAGGACGGAAGAAGTTTAACTCCAGCTTGTACTTCTCCAAAGAGTCTAAAACCTGGGAGGAGAGCAGAGAGGACGGTCTGAAGAGGGGAGCAGACCTGGTGATCATAAACAGCAGAGGGGAACAGGTGTGTGTATGTGTGTGTGTGTGAGATTGAGAGAGAGCGAGAGACTTCAGATTTTCAAGATCTTTAAAATCAGAAGTGAAACTGCAAAAAAGTCTGAATTAATTGCCTTCAGTGCAGTTGTATCATAATGCAACTTTTGCTCTTCTTTCACCCTCTGTTATCAGTCAGTTCTTCAACACATATTGATTGGTCTGACTGACAAGGATTCTGAGGGAAACCTAGAAATGGGTGAATGGAACCCTACTGATCACAGTGTAAGAAATTTTCATATTTTTTCATTACAATGTATCTCAAAATATAAACGTAAAAAGAGAATGGACACTGTTATTCGATTGTCGGCAGAAGGTAAGTCTCTGCCAAATGGTATCATATTAAGAGAAATTAAATGTGAATATGTGCAAGGGAAACGTTTGTAAATGTAATCACAATCTTAAGAGAGTGAGGAGATTCTACAGTGCCTTGCAAATGTATTCATCCCCTTGGAGTTTTTTCTATTTTGTTGTATTACAACCTGTAATTTAAATGGATTTTTATTTGCATTTCAGGTAATAGTCATACACAAAATAGTCCAAATTGGTGAAGTGGAATAAAGAAAATAACTTGTTTCAAGAAATTCCCCCCAAATAAATAACGGAGAAGTGGTGCGTGCATATGAATTCACCCCCTTTGCTATGAAGCCCCTAAATAAGATCTGGTGCAACCAATTACCTTCAGAAGTCACATAATTAGTTAAATAAAGTCCACCTGTGTGCACTCTAAGTGTCACATGATCTGTCACAACATCTCATACACTGTTGTAAGGCAACAAAATAGGAAAAATGCCAAGGGGGGTGAATACTTTCGCAAGCCACTGTAAACTCCAATTCTAAACACACACACAACGCACGCACGCTGAGACTGTAGATTTACTGAGGACAGACTGTTCCAGAACTATAAAGTTGATGTAATCCTCTCTTTGACTGTCGGGGCCGCTGTGTGTGTGTGTGTGTGTGCGTGCGTGTATGTGCGACCCTGCCTTACCTTTGGCAGCCAGGTCCAATAGTACGGGGTCACTGCAGGAGCGCCTGATCCTCTGGCGCTGAGACCTCCTGACGGGGGGTACCGGGGCACCCTGGGGGGGTCTGGCCTGGCACAGTGGGGGTGATGGGGGAGAGGGGTAAGACGGCGGAGACGTGGGCACTGGAACAACCGTCGTCTGGGGACCAACGTCTGAAACACAGGAACAATAAACACAATTAGGAGGAGAGGGGTAGGGGGGCACTAAAACAGACAGACATAATAAGCACAGAGTCAGTCAGTTAGGAGAGGGGTGGGTAGGGGGTAGGGGGAAGGGGGAAGGAGGTGGGTTGAGGGGAAAGGGGGACATGAGACGTAATAAACACAGTCAGAAGGAGAGGGAGGGGTTACAGATTCATATCTAGTGTAAATAGGGGTCATAAACTAGCCGCCGATACACCTGCAGTTTATCTATCTTTAGGAAACTCCCCCAGCTAATGTTGTTACTCTATCTTTAGGAAACTGCCTAGAGACAATATTTAATTAGAACCATGCATAAACAGCTATACCTTCTCTATGCGTCGCTCTCGCTCCTCTCTTGCCCCTCTTTAACTCTCTCTTTCTCTTTCTGTCTGTTTTTTTCTTCCTCTCCCTTAAGTGTGTGGTGTGACAAATTATACCAGGGTCACACCCAAAGCTCCATCTCTATCACAACAAACCCTGTGACCTTAGGAAGTTACAATGTGTACCTTCAAGGTGTGTTTGGTCATAATGTCTCTGTCTGACTTTTTTCGCCACATCTTAATCATCTCAGTTGGACAAACGTGTCTCTCTACTCTAAAATAGTTCCAGACTCTCTTTTCACAGAGATGAAAGAAAGGGAAGAACCTTTCCTATACTAAGCAGTATGTATGAAGCAGACTGAGTTTGTGAGAGCTAGATGGAGGGTGGGTGGGGGGTGGTGAATGGAACATCTGAGACTGAAATAAATGTTCTTATAATACATTGATGGCATAACTGTCAGTTGGCGAATCTGTGACCTCAGGGCAAGGTTATGTCCCATTCATCTGACTGGGACAACTATAGCAGTACACTGGGATACAGTAACTATAGCAGTACTTTCATTGGATAACTATAGCAGTACTTTCACTAGGATAACTATATCAGTACTTAGCTGTACTAGGATAGCTATAGACAGACATCCTACTAGCAACAGGACTCTCTCAGCAAGGATACAAGTCCGAGGATACTTTGTCAGGTCACACACGTTTGGCTTTTCCCAAGGCTCATGTATTAATGTGAATTATGATGGTGGAAAGAAGATATGAGAGATTCATACCGAGGTTTGAATATGCCCATTCACAGGATGTCATTTATAGGTAGGGACATGTTTTTTCTTCAGTTTTTAAACAGGTATTTCTAGCATTATCCACTAGGTTTGCTGCAGGTAAAACAATTCCTAGGAAATGTTATTTAATTGACAAGCTGTCTCCAATCAATAAATCAATGTCTGGTTGTGTGTGAGTGTTTGGTGAGTGTTTTGGTGGGGGCTTTAACCCGGGTCCAGCAACTGTCAAGCCAACACCTAAACCATTATGCCAAGAGGTCCGAACCTCTTGATGAGCTCGCTAGGTGTTGGCTTAAGGTCGCTACGCTACCTACCCCTTTTCTAATGGGGATAGCGTGTCTTCACAATTCACTATACTAAGTCCCTCACGTGTACAAGCCTCTCCAATGGCCTCACGAGTGCCATCCCACTTCTGCTATTCAAGCTATTCTGACCTCTTGGCGTAACAGTTAACGCGTTGGCTTGACACTCGCTGAACCCGGGTTTGAGTCCCGGTCGCGGGAATACAAACAGTATTCTCTGACAAATAATAGGCTTTGTGCAATTAAGATTCATAGAGCTACGCCTCCCTGGCTTAGGCGATCCCCCTACAAAACACTCACACACAACCAAACATTGATTGATTGGCGACAGCTTGTGTCAATTTAACAACATTTCCTAGGATTTTCTACCTGCAGCAAACCTAGTGGATAATGCTGGAAATACCGGTCAAAGAAAACCCCCACAAAACCGAACCAGAACAACTGGCCCTACTTAAAGGCCAAGCATGCAAGCGCATGTTCTTGTGTATGTTCTGTGTGAAATTCTATGGCATTGTGATGAAGATGTGGGACAGCTTGTAAAGAAAGACGACACCAAATCATGAAATAATTGCTCGCACCTGTGCCTGCTTGCAAAACTCTGCCCGGGACTCTGAGAAACTGATATAAGGTAGAGCCGATAGCGCAGGCAGCTCGTGGCGGGGGAGCTGGTGCTTTGATTAATGTTGGGCTCCGTAGCCCTTGCAAGTATTCGTGATGCACTCACTTTAACAGGAGGAGGTTGATGTCGTTTGCTGCTGTGTAGGGCAGCCGGACAGCTAGTGATAGTGGAGTGCTAGCCCTCTCCCCTACGTTTGTAAATAGAGCGTGCTGCAAGTTGAAGTGTGTTCTTTTGTATGCTAAATAATGATACATTAGAGTGTCTAGTTTGAGAAACACGCGCCTCACAGGTCCTCAACTGGCAGCTTCATTAAATAGTACCCGCAAAACACCAGTCTCAACGTCAACAGTGAAGACGCGACTCCGGGATGCTGACCTTCTAGGCAGAGTTGCAAAGAAAAAGCCATATCTCAGACTGCCCATCTTAATCTTTGGCCATTTTTATTGGCCAGTCTGAGATATGGCTTTTTCTTTGCAACTCTGCCTAGAAGGTCAGCATCCTGGAGTCGCCTCTTCATTGGAGCACAGGACTGATGGCTGCTGATAATGGGCCTCTGTACGCCTATGTAGATATTCCATAAAAAATCAGCAGTTTCAAGCTACGATAGCCATTTACAACATTAACAATGTCTACACTGTATTTCTGATCAATTTGATGTTATTTTAATGGACCAAAAAAATGATTTTCTTTCGAAAACATGGACATTTCTAAGTGACCCCAAACTTTTGAACGGTAGTGTATGTTCATATAAGGCTGAAACACATATTTAGATATCTGTAATTTACATATAATTAAATACATGTACATACATGTTAAAATATCTGTCAATATTATTTTTCCATATGGGCCACGTTGTCCTATGAATGTTAATGTCTAATAACATATCTTACATTGTTTTGGTGTGTTCAGACCTCTGACGCCAGACCATACCTGTTTATGCACTATACTACACTACTCTGCCCAACCCAGTACTTGTCCCACCTAATATAATAATATTCTCTCAAGCTTTATTACAGTATGTCCGTCCGTCCATCCATCCTTGTGTCCTACCTCTAATTGAAGTACCCGCCTCTGAGCTGTTATTCAACTCTTCTGTCAACTCTGTCAGGTCCGTCATGGGAATCTGAATCTCTGTCTCCTGAACAGAACATAGTCATTAGAGATTATACTGTAACTGGAGATTGGGAGACATTAATAAACCACACAGTTATGAAACAAACAATATAAGCCATTATCCAGGGTTGGGGTCAATTCTGAATTGAGTTGTGAATTGCTATTTAATTTCAATTCTTGAATTTGCCACACCCCACAGGATGCAGAATTTGAATAGAATTTGAATTAAAGGGAGTAGAATTTAATTCAATGAATTAATTCAGACTCAAATGCCTTATTTATTCTACACATCACCATAGAAATGTTTATTTTGACATCATGTATGATTACCAATACCATGTAACATAAGGTTGTAACATTTGACAAATATTAAGGGAACTATGAATTATAATAGACAACCCACAACATTATAATAGACAACCCACAACATGTTGTGGGTTGTCTATAATCATTCATAGTTCCCTTAATGTTTTTAAATATCAAAATACATTTCCCAGAATGCATTATATCAAACACTGCAGTATGGAAGGGAACAATCTAACATCATGACAAAGGAAAATACTGTTTGACATCAGTTATAGTGCCTTCAGAAACTATTCACACCCCTTGACATTTTCCACATTTTATTGTTACAGCCTGAATTTAAAATTGATTAAATTGATATTCAAAATACCCCAAAGTGGAATTATGTTTTTTTTTAAAACATTTTTACAAAACAAAAAAATGAAAAGCTGAAGTGTCTTGAGTCAATAAGTATTCAACCATTTTGTTATGGCAAGCATTTCATTTACACAACATGCCTACCACTTTGAAGATGCAAAATATTTTTTCTTGTGAAACAAACAAGAATTAAAACAAAACAAACTTAAATCTTGAGCGTGCATAACTATTCACCCATCAAATTATATTTTATATTTCAGATTCTTCAAAGTAGCCACCCTTTGCCTTGATGACAGCTTTGCACACTCTTAGCATTCTCTCAACCAGCTTCACCTGGAATGCTTTTCCAACAGTCTTGAAGGAGTTCCCACATATGCTGAGCACTTGTTGGCTGCTTTTCCTCCACTCTGCGGTCCCTCATCCCAAAACCATCTCAATTGGGTTGAGGTCAGGGGATTGTGGGGGCCAGGTCATCTGATGCAGCACCCCATCACTCTCCTTCTTGGTCAAATAGCCCTTACACAGCCTGGAGGTGTGCTGGGTCATTGTCCTGTTGAAAAACAAATGATAGTCCCACTAAGCCCAAACCAGATGGGATGGCGTATCGCTGCAGAATGCTGTGGTATTAATGCTGATTAAGTGTGCCTTGAATTCTAAATAAATCACAGACAGTGTCACCAGCAAAGCACCCCCATACCATCACACCTCCTTCTCCATGTCACGGTGGGAAATACACATGCAGAGATCATCCGCTCACCCACACTGTGTCTCACAAAGACACGGGGGTTGGAACCAAAAATCTAAAATTTGGACTCCAGACCAAAGGACACATTTCCACCGGTCTAATGTCCATTGCTTGTGTTTCTTGGTCCAAGCAAGTCTCTTCGTCTTCATGGTATCCTTTAGTAGTGGTTTATTTGCAGCAGTTCGACCATGAAGGCCTGATTCACACAGTCTCTTCTGAACAGTTGATGTTGAGATGTGTCTGTTACTTGAACTCTGTGAAGCATTTATTTAGGCTGCAATCTGAGGTGCCGTTAACTCTAATGAACTTATCCTCTGCAACAGAGGTAACTCTGGGTCTTCCATTCCTGTGGCGGTCCTCATGAGAGCCAGTTTCATCATAGTGCTTGATGGTTTTTGTGACTGCACTTGAATATACTTTCAAAGTTCTTGAAATTTTCCGTATTGACTGACCATGTCTTAAAGTAATGATGGACTGTTGTTTCTCTTTGCTTATTTGATCTGTTCTTGCCATAATATGGACTTGGTCTTTTACCAAATAGGGCTATCTTCTGTATACCCCCCTACCTGTTCACAACACAACTGATTGGCTCAAACACATTAAGAAGGAAAGAAATTCCACAAATTAACTTTTAAAAAGGCACACCTGTTAATTGAAATGCATTCCAGGTGACTACCTCATGAAGGTGGTTGAGAGAATGCCAAGAGTGTGCAAAGCTGTCATCAAGGCAATGGGTGGCTATTTGAAGAATCTCAAATATAAAATATATTTTGATTTGTTTAACACTTTTTTGGTTACTACATGATTCCATATGTGTTATTTCATAGTTTTGAGGTCTTCACTATTATTCTACAATGTAAAAAATAGTACAAATAAAGAAAAACCCTGGAATGAGTAGGTGTGTCCAAACTTTTGACTGGTAGTGTATGTAAATTAGATATCTGTACTTCAATAAATGTGCTAACATTTCTAAAAACATGTTTTCACTTTTCATAAAAAATCTATTTAACTCATTTTGAATTAAGGCTATAACAAAATGTGGAATAAGTCAAGGGGTATGAATACTTTGAAGGCACTGTATAGTCAAACTAATATTTGAAATGGTATGTGTATTCTTTGCATTAATATGTTGCATATACTTCTGATAAAATATTTGTCAAATTAATCAAACTTTCATGCTCAGTCTTAGCATGAAAGTTTGATTGGTTTGAATTGGTTTGAATTCAATTCTAATTCCTTCAATTAAAATGATGCTTCCTGTGGGGTGTGGCCAATTCAATTTAAATGCATTGTTTGAATTGAATTCAGAAATTCAGAATTGACCCCAACCCTGCCACTAGCAATACAAAACATTTACAACTCACAAAGTTATCACATTGCTACATTACCTGATTTGAAGTTACTGAGTTTTTGTTGGAATACAACTTGGAGCATGCTGACTGGCTGGGGTCCAGCCATTCCCATTGTTTTGCACTAAACTATGCTAATGTTAAGCTGTAACTAAATGACTATCTCAATCCATAGGCTACTTTCAAGGTTTTCATAAAATGATATAATGTAATCTGCTGTATGTACCTGTGTTGCGGTGGCCAGGGCGGAGCGTCCAATAACAGCTTCGTAGGGAGGGGGTGGGTCTAGAGGACAGAACACCTCTACTCCTTTAATCCTGGCACCATAGATATGAGGTAGCGGTATCACACTGTTCCCAAACATCCTGCGAGCCAGCCGTGGTGTGTAGGAGTAGAAAGTTGAAAAGTAGGAGGGGGGAGGGGCTGGGGGGACAAACTCATCCGGGTCAGGCATAATAGTTGGCTCCTCCCCCTCCTCTGCAATTGGCCTGGGATCATCCTATCAGAGAGGGGGAGGACGAGAGATAAGCCACTTATTGAGATGCAACTGTAGTGTTGACAAATGAAAAAAACATTGGTCAATATGGAGCAGAGTATGTGAGAGGAGCAGAGCTGGAGCGGAGCGAGGAGCAGTGTGGCCAATTTGACTGGAGCACAGAGCGAGATTCCCAAAGGCTGGACCGTCGGCCTTCTCGCCCGCTCCAATTTTGCTCCAGTAGCGTTCACTTCAAGAGCTCAGGGCATGCCCGGCCCAGCATGCCTTTGTAGTCTACCTGTGTGCTGCTATAGCCCCTTGCTTTAGCTACTGTCATGGAGTTCACTAAATATTTTCATAAATAAACGGATAAAACACACAGGTGCTAAATCAAGGTAACTTACAAAGATGAGGACCAAGAGCAAGAGAGGGAGTGCGGTGATGTAGTGTCAACAACTAAAGAATGATTGTGGAATCTGAAAAGACACATTTCCGAAAAGCATGATGGTGTAGCCTACTTACTATGTGAACATGCTAAAAGAAAGGAACGAGGTTGGTAGGTAACTAAGTGTGTTATTGTAGCAAAGTATTTATAAACAACAAATCTGATCTCTATTATCTATACAATAGGCCATAATTGATTTTGGCCCAATAGGCCTGGCATATTCCCACTTTCAAGGAGCTTTCCATTTTGATTCAGTTATTTTGCTTAAAAACCTTTAGGCCTACCTATAGAAAAATTAAAATAAACAACTCTGCATCTCTGCCCAGCCTGGCAAGAGTGTCCCGAAGGGTGCCTAGCATCCCCAGTGGCTCTGCAAGCGCAGAGAGGATAGATCCTCTCCGCTGCTGGCCTGCTCTCCAGGCACCATCGCATAAGCCTGAAGCCACAGACTCTGGCCAAACTCGTGTTTCTAAAAATGAATGCGAAGGCACTGTAGACTGAGCCTAAAAAGGCATTTTTCGTTTTATTTGTATTTAATTCTAAGTAAGTCATAGCCTATATGTGCAATTTATAGACTATAATGATTTAGTACAACAAAAAGTTGTTTAAATGCTGAGCCCTTTATGTCCCTACCAGACTATTGTGTCTCACTCTTCACAAATACTTCACAATGTATTTCTTTGTAGGCTATAGCCTTGAATAAATTGAAATAATATAGCCTAAATAATTAATTTTCGTTCCTTCTTAGGCTCCCTGACTGGCTCCTGACCTATTTGGAGTGTTTATATGCTGTTTAATATGACATGAAGCCTATTTGAAATGATGAGCGCTTCTTACATTCACCTTTTCATGTTTATTAAAATACTTTTCATTCAAATAATTTGGTTTGGTTTCAATACTTCAAAACCAAATGGTAGGTCCAGGTAGACACACAAATAGATGGAAAGGGATACCCGCCAGATGGGTGTTGGTTAAATTGTGATTTTAATGAATGGAGCGAATTCGGAGCGGCAGTTTTTTTTCCTGGGAGTGCGGAGCGGTTGGAAAGGATGTGGAGCGCCGGAGCGCTGCACAAGTACCGCTCCATGAGCGATGAGCGGGATTTCCGACCACTCAACTCCGCTCACACACTCTGATATGGAGATTCTTCTGCTATGTGATTGGACGTGGTGCAGATTCTAACCTACATGATTGGAGCTGGGGATTCTCAGGCCCTGTGAATGGTTGTGATGGGGTACATGGGGTAGTCTTACCATGCATGGTCTTCTGGTGGTGAAGATCTGTAGGTATCGGAGGGCAGCAGCCACCAGACACACTGCAGTGGTCAGAGCATTCAGAGCACATAACGCAAACAGAACCTTCTGGAAACACAGACAGACGAGAAACAGTTATGGTTAAACCACCCCACAAACACCAATAACCATCTTAACTTGCTATATGGTTAAATATAAGCATAATGAACCATAGAGTTGTATAGAGGGCTCTAGTGCCCAAAAGCCCATTTTAGCATGGGCAGCACCTTTGAGGACTTTTGCAATTTTTAAGTAGTCACCTGGGTGGGACTTCCTATGGGTTAAGGAAGGATCACATAATTCCATCAATATCATCAGGAGGGATCAGACAATGAATTATACTTGTGAGCAAACATTCCATAACTGCAGGTGGCAGTAAATCACCAACCTTGGCTTTAAACCTTTTCTAGCAACACACTCCAGGTGGCAGTATGCACCCTCTCAGTTGTTCACCAACTCATAGAAGTAGTAGAAAAATAAAAGGTACTACTTAAAAATGGAGATGGCCTCAGTGGCGCTGCCCAGATGCCATAATGGGGCAGATACAACGTTGCGATCTCTATACAACTCTATGCAATGAACATAAATTCTCGCACACACACACACACCTTGAGCAGGACCCTCATGGTGCTACAAGAGTGTCCAGGGTAGAGTTTGAGTAGTTTTTCCTCAGGACACTTGGCAGTGGGGGTCTGAGGACAGCAGTTACACACATCTCCCACCTCACTCTGAAACACACAAAACACAACAGATACATGGCCATTAGACTCACACTGAAACACACAAAAGATACATGGCCTTTAGACTCACACTGAAACACACAAAAGATACATGGCCTTTAGACTCACACTGAAACACACAAAAGATACATGGCCATTAGACTCACACAACAGACCAGGTCTAAGAAATGTCAAAAACACACAGACTGTGTTTGACATGTTGGCATGCTAATCTCAACCTATTCTAAGATTGTCAACACTTTCAACCAGAGGAAATGAAGGAGGGAAGGAAGGGAATGAAGGGAAGGAGAGAGAAAGAGGGAAACTGATAAGAGAGAGACATCGACCGAGTGAGAGCGAGACATATTTTACCTTCTGGCATGTACGCTTTCATCTCCCTCCCTCCCTCCAGGGCAGTGAAAGGGTCCTTGCTATCTGGGATCCTTGGGACATCCCTACCCCCCACTGAAGTTGACATTTAAAATGGTTACGGTAAGGTTAGGGTTATGGTTAAGGTTAGGGTAAGCTTAGGGGTTAGGGTTTAGTGAAAGTAACACCAGATTTGAGGAGCAGATAGTCTGGACGGGAGACTCAATTACTCAAAAAACAATCACAATTTAACCAACACCCATCTTTCAATTATTTAAAGGCTATAGCCTACAAAGAAATACATTGTGAAGCATTTGCGAGTGAGACATTTTGCGGCAGGGACATAATGCACTCCGCAACATTAAACAACATTTAGTTGTATTAAATCATTATAGTCTATAAATTGTGCATTTAGGCTGTATACTTAGAATACATACACACATACAATACCAGTCAAAAGTTTGGACACACCTACTCATTCAAGGGTTTTTCTTTATTTTTACATTGTATAATAATAGTGAAGACATCAAAACTATGAAATAACACATATGGAATCATGCAGTAACCAAAAAAGTGTTCAACAAATCAAAATATATTTTATATTTGAGATTCTTCAAATTGCCACCCTTTGCCTTGATGACAGCTAATCAGCCGTACCAGTGATTGTCCGGGAGGTGAGTTTATTTTCTTCACCTCGTGTTGAGATTCAAAGTTCCAACCATTTTAAAAGTGTAGCTGCCGCTTCACGCTTTTCTGGTCTGATGTGTTTTTTTCTTAACCCATCATTTATACACTTTGGTCGAAACGGGCGGTTCCAGCAGGCTGGCACGCTTTCTGACCTCACTTTGGGGCGGCAATTACTCACTCTGCAAAGCTCATGGAAAACAATTATCTCTTATAGCTTCTCAAATCACATCCCTCTCTTAACACATTTATTTTTTTCATATTACATGCACAACGCATAGTATGGAAACTTCATACATGTCGTGGGTATACTTTCCAAGTTACAGTATTTCCTTTATAACATTTTTAATAACAAACAAAATGACCTTATAGATGACCTCTGACCATTCCCCACGCTCTATGTTAGAAATATTGTTCCAGTATTCGCTTTTGAACGTGTTAGAGTTTCAGCAGGAAAAAGTCTGTTGAAACAAAGAACATTCCTTTGGTGAATCTTGAGAGGGAGAGCCTGGATCGTCTCCTTTGATTTACAACAGGATGTGAGTTGTTAATACCCACTAGTTTATTCCTTCCCCCTCTACGGGTGAGAGGGGGTCTGAATGAAGTTATTCATTGCAAACCTGATCTGACCTATTTGGATTCTCGTGGACAGTCATGACATCCTCATCTTTGTAAGTCACCTTGATTTTGCACCTGTGTTTTATATCAGTTTCTTTATGAAAATATTTAGCGGACTCTATGACAGTAGCTAAAGCAAGGGGCTATAGCAGCACACAAGTAGACTACAAAGGCATGCTGGGCCAGGCATGCCCTGAGCTCGTGAAGTGAACGCTACTGGAGCAAAATTGGAGTGGGTGAGAAGGCCCGACGCTCCAGCCTTTGGGAATTTTGCTCCGCGCTCCAGTCAAATTGGGTACACTCCGCTCATCGCTCCACTCCAGCTCTGCTCCCGCTCCGATACTCTGGCTGGGACGAACCACCGCACCACAGTGGGGGGCGCCATAAACCCACCATGCCCTGCCCTCTCATCTCAGCCTCACATTACAGGGACACCGGGTGTGTGTGTGTGTGTGTGTGTTATGTTCCCCAATAAGAAACCAAAAACCGCTCAACAGAAAAAGAGAACTAACAAATGAGCCACTGACAACCAAAACGGAACAGGTGGGGTTTTAACATGGGTTCTGAAAGGCCTCCATGGGGGGCCTACTGAGTACTGGCCAAGTAACTCCAGTTGGGTCTTAAAAGATCCCCACCATGGACAACCACTGGATTTGCCCGATATTAAACAAAACTAAAATAAAAAAAACCTCACTCCAACATAGGATAGGGAGTGAAAATAAAAGTGGAGCCAAACCCAAACAGGGGAAAACAAAGGTGAAGGCTTTGCTCAACAACCCTAAAGCAGAAGAGCTAAACAGAGTTGTATCTCTTCCAATATCTATTTTTCCAACAGAAGCCCTGGGCTAGCAGCTCTAATTTATGCTTGAGCCGAAAATGTGGTCGGAGGCGCCGTATGGATGGTGTGACGCAATAGTAGAGCCTCCGGAGGCACGCAGAGGCCAAATTGAGCTCCGTACCGCATTGCTGTGCGCCTCTCAAATGTTGTAACAATTCTCTGTATAGCTCCGCATTGACATGATTGGTTGACGGTAGGTGAGGGCGGGAGGTCCTGTATAAACACAAACTCACTTCCTTGACAACTTCCTTCAAAACAGCTCTGCGCTGCTCCACGAAGCGCAAGAAGTCTGAATGCCCTGACTTCTGCAGAGGCCGTATCACTGTAAATGCTGCACGGCCAATGCAGATTTCTGATTGACCATGCAGCGCCTTTTAAATATCAGCTGTGACAGCACAGGTGAAACACCTTCTGACTAACGAGGACAACGGGTGCAACAAATCCTGACCAACGAGGATGATTCCAATCAGTGCGCCACACCCAAAGAGAAATTGAGAGAAAAACCAAAGCCTGTAACGGTGTGTATGTGTGTGCATGTGTTGTGCACCAGTGGAGGCTCCTCAGAGCAGGAAGGGGAGGACCATCCTCCTCAGTGAATTGTATCCAAATCAAAATAGTGAAACATTAAAAAAGTTATCCTTTTTAGATAAAACTATACTAAATATATTCACATATCACCAAATAATGATTAAAACACTGTTTTGCAATGAAGGTCTACAGTAGCCTCACTATGCTCTGTAGGGTAGCACCATGGTGTAGCCGGAGGACAGCTAGCTTCTGACCTCCTCTGGGTACATTGACTTCAATTCCTCCCACCAACCCAAAAAAAGAAAACATCCGGATTTAAACTTACTCTTTAAAGTTGTAATAGTAGAATGCACAAGATGCAATTTCCAAATTGGGTAGTGGATCATCAGTTTCTCTTGTCACGTTAGTCATTGCATACCTTAGAGAGCTATTTATAACTTCTCCGAAATGTCCAGATCAACTACCTCATGTCAGCTAACGTTTATTTTTTGCCCATAGATATTGTTGTAATTTTCTAGTCACTTAAATATTACATGAATTAGCTTTAAAACTGCAACATTTTCATTGCATACCATGACAAAATGTGTAGAATTCAGTGGCGGTCGGTGCCGTTTAAGATGAGGGAGGACGATTTAGTTTTTTTAATGAGCATGGCCTTATTTCTATTACAGCATATTGGATGACTGTCATTCATATTCCATTCACCCAGCTCAATGTAACATCGATAGGTTTAGGCTACTACATTGTTTTATTTATTTTTTATTTCACCTTTATTTAACCAGGTAAACCAGTTGAGAACAAGTTCTCATTTACAACTGCGACCTGGCCAAGATAAAGCAAAGCAGTGCGATAAAAACAACAACACAGAGTTACATATGGGGTAAAACAAAACAAAGTCAAAAATACAACAGAAATACATATAATATACAGTGTGCAAATTTAGCAAGTTATGGAGGTAAGGCAATAAAATAGGCTATAGTGCAAAATAATTACAATTAGTATTAACACTGGAATGATAGATGTGCAAGAGATGATGTGCAAATAGAGATACTGGGGTACAAATGAGCAAAATAAATAACAATATAGGGATGAGGTAGTTGGGCGGGCTAATTTCAGATGGGCTGTGTACAGGTGCAGTGATCGGTAAGGTGCTCTGACAACTGATGCTTAAAGTTAGTGAGGGAGATAAGTGTCTCCAGCTTCAGAGATTTTTGCAATTTGTTCCAGTCATTGGCAGCAGAGAACTGGAAGGAATTGCGGCCAAAGGAGGTGTTGGCTTTGGGGATGACCAGTGAGATATACCCGCTGGAGCGCAGACTACGGGTGGGTGTTGCTATGGTGACCAATGAGCTAAGATAAGGCGGGGATTTGCCTAGCAGTGATTTATAGATGGCCTGGAGCCAGTGGGTTTGGCGACGAATATGTAGTGAGGACCAGCCAACAAGAGCGTACAGGTCACAGTGGTGGGTATTATATGGGGCTTTGGAGACAAAACGGATGGCACTGTGATAGACAACATCCAATTTGCTGAGTAGAGTGTTGGAGGCTATTTTGTAAATGACATCGCCGAAGTCAAGGATCGGTAGGATAGTCAGTTTTACGAGGGCATGTTTGGCAGCATGAGTGAAGGAGGCTTTGTTGCGAAATAGGAAACCGATTCTAGATTTAACTTTGGATTGGAGATTCTTAATGTGAGTCTGGAAGGAGAGTTTACAGTCTAACCAGACACCTAGATATTTGTAGTTGTCCACATACTCTAGGTCAGACCCGTCTAGAGTAGTGATTCTAGTCGGGTGGGCGGGTGCAAGCAGCGTTCGGTTGAAGAGCATGCATTTAGTTTTACTAGTGTTTAAGAGCAGTTGGAGGCTACTGAAGGAGTGTTGTATGGAATTGAAGCTCGTTTGGAGGTTTGTTAACACAGTGTCCAATGAAGGGCCAGATGTATACAAAATGGTGTCGTCTGCGTAGAGGTGGATCTGAGAGTTACCAGCAGCAAGAGCGACGTCATTGATATACACAGAGAAAAGAGTTGGCCCAAGAATTGAACCCTGTGGCACCCCCATAGAGACTGCCATAGGTCCAGACAACAGGCCCTCCGATTTGACACATTGAACTCTATCTGAGAAGTAGTTGGTGAACCAGGCGAGGCAGTCATTTGAGAAACCAAGGCTATTTAGTCTGCCAATAAGAATGCGGTGGTTGACAGAGTCGAAAGCCTTGGCCAGGTCAATGAAAACGGCTGCACAGTACTGTCTATTATCGATCGCGGTTATAATATCGTTTAGGACCTTGAGCGTGGCTGAAGTGCACCCATGACCAGCTCGGAAACCGGATTGCATAGCGGAGAAGGTACGGTGGGATTCGAAATGGTCGGTGATCTGTTTGTTGACTTGGCTTTCAAAAACTTTTGAAAGGCAGGGCAGGATGGATATGGGTCTGTAACAGTTTGGATCTAGAGTGTCACCCCCTTTGAAGAGGGGGATGACCGCGGCAGCTTTCCAATCTCTGGGGATCTCAGACGTTACGAAAGAGAGGTTGAACAGGCTAGTAATAGGGGTTGCGACAATTTCGGCGGCTAGTTTTAGAAAGAAAGGGTCCAGATTGTCTAGCCCAGATGATTTGTAGGGGTCCAGATTTTGCAGCTCTTTTAGAACATCAGCTGTCTGGATTTGTGTGAAGGAGAAGCGGGGGGGGGCATGGGCAAGTTGCAGCGGAGGGTGCAGAGCTGGTGGCCGGGGTAGTGGTAGCCAGGTGGAAAGCATGGCCAGCCGTAGCAAAATGCTTGTTGAAATTCTCGATTATTGTAGATTTATCGGTGGTGATAGTGTTTCCTAGCCTCAGTGCAGTGGGCAGCTGGGAGGAAGTGCTCTTATTTTCCATGGACTTTACAGTGTCCCAAAACTTTTTGGAGTTAGTGCTACAGGATGCAAATTTCTGTTTGAAAAAGTTAGCCTTTGCTTTCCTAACTGCTTGTGTATATTGGTTCCTAACTTCCCTGAAAAGTTGCATATCGCGGGGGCTATTTGATGCTAATGCAGTACGCCACAGGATGTTTTTGTGCTGGTCAAGGGCAGTCAAGTCTGAGGAGAACCAGGGGCTATATCTGTTCTTAGTTCTGTATTTTTTGAATGGGGCATGTCTATTTAAGATTGAGAGGAAATTACTTTTAAAGAACAACCAGGCATCCTCTACTGACGGAATGAGATCTATATCCATCCAGGATACCTGGGCCAGGTCAATTAGGAAGGCCTGCTCGCTGAAGTGTTTTTGGGAGCGTTTGACAGTGATGAGGGGTGGTCGTTTGACCGCGGAGCCGTTACGGACGCAGGCAATAAGGCAGTGATCGCTGAGATCCTGGTTGAAGACAGCGGAGGTGTATTTAGAGGGTAAGTTAGTCAGGATGATATCTATGAGGGTACCCATGTTTACGGATTTAGGGTTGTACCTGGTAGGTTCGTTGATAATTTGTATGAGATTGAGGGCATCTAGTTTAGATTGTAGGATGGCCGGGGTGTTAAGCATATCCCAATTTAGGTCACCAAGCAGTACGAACTCTGAGGATAGATGGGGGGCAATCAATTCACATATGGTGTCCAGGGAACAGCTGGGGGCTGAGGGGGGTCTGTAGCAAGCGGCAACAGTGAGAGATTTATTTCTGTACCCATCATGAGGTTGCTACAACCTAGCCTTTGAATGAAAGTTAACAACGTAGGTGCACACAGGTCGAGAGAAATATTTGAGGCGACAGACACATGGACAGACAGTGACACATTCAATACTGCCTTGTACACTCTTGCCTGCACCTAGCTGATCTAGGGTGTAATCATTAGTCCAACAATTGCAAATGAGAGTTTCTATTGGACAAATTAATGTATGTTTCTCCCTGTTTCATTCCGTTTTTCAACAATAATCTGAGGAATGAATGACACGTAAACACAGTTCACTTTCATAACAGCCACGTTGTATTCCTTCTCGCATCTATGCACTCTCCTCCACTCATCTTTTCCCTTTGTTTGTGGACTTCAATGCACAACACATCAGCTGTATGTGACCAGGCAAAAAACCTTTCCAAGCCAAATCATATCATAACCGCTACACACAACCTACATTGTTGTCACCATATTAGCTAAAGTAATGTCATAGTCAACATAGCTAATAGAACCAACACGTTAGTAAACCCGCTACAATCATGCAGTAACGTTACAGTGTACAGTCAGTAAGCAGTTTAGCAGTTACACCAGCGGCCCCTGGTGGGAATACATTTGTAAAACCAAAAGCTTACCTTGACTTGGAAGAGTTCCAGTGTTGTGTTGGATAGTCATAGCCAGCTAGCTAACATAGCATCCCTGTGTTTGAGCAGTGCATTTGAGTAGGCTAAACTAGCTAGCTGCATTTGCTAGCTAAGTAAGTGAAACTGAAAAAAAATGACTCTCTCTCTCTTCCCCAATGCTAGAAGGGGGGACCCCCGAGTGAAAAAAGTTTGGGAACCCCTGCCATAGACTTACACAGTAATTATGACAATTTCCGGAGGACGTCCGCCAACCTATCAGAGCTCTTGCAGCATGAACTGACATGTTGTCCACCCAATCAAAGGATCAGATAATTAATCTAGTACTGAAAGCATAAGATACAGATAGCTAGCACTGCAGTGCATAACATGTAGTGAGTAGTTGACTCAAAGAGAGAGTAAGACAATAGTTTAACAGTTTCGCACAAATTAATTTCTTCCAAAATTAAGGAGAAGCAAGAGATAGAAAGAGAGCTAGCTATATTTCGTAGTATCTTATTTTTCACTTCCTCTTTCATTACATTTACATTGTAGTCATTTAGCAGACGCTCTTATCCAGAGCGACTTACAGGAGCAATTAGGGTTAAGTGCTTTGCTCAAGGGCACGTCGACAGATTTTTCACCTAGTGGGCTCGGGGATTAGAACCAGCGACCTTTCGGTTACTGGCAAAACGCTCTTAACCACTAAACTACCTGCCGCCCATATACTTAGCTAGCATCGAATGTAGCTAGCTAGTTTAGCCTACTCAAACACCTGGCTCAAACAGAGAGGGATGCTATGTTAGCTACCTGGCTAAGGCTATCCAACACCGGAACTCTTCCAAGTCAAGGTAAGCTTTTGGTTTAGTTAATTTATTGCCACCGGGGCCCACAGGTGTAACTGCTAAACTGCTTGCTGCTGACTGTATTGCATGATTGCAGCGGGTTTACTAACGCGTTAGTTCTAGTAGCTATGATGACAATGACATGACAACAATATAGGCTGTGTGTTGGGATTAGCGGTCATTAAGTTTTGGCTTGGAAAGGTTTTTTCGCCTGGTCACAGACAGCTGCTGTGTTGTGCACTGAAGTCCACAAACGAAGGGAAAAGGTGAGAGGAGGAGAGAGCGTAGATAGTTGCTGCTTTGTTTTGAGCCAGCTGCAACTTTGCTAGATCTTTCTTTGCTGCACCTGATCATATTACCGGACAGTAATTAAGATGGGAGAAGATCAGATCCTGAACAACTAGAACAATTGATCTTTGTATCAAAAATGCAGAACATCTTTTTATAACAGACATACCTCTAACCATCTACACAACAACTTTGTCAATATGGCTTGACCATGATAACTGACTATCCAATGTTACTCCTAGGAGTTCAACTTCTTCAACTTGTGTGTTTTTGTCTGTGTGCATGCGTATGCGTGTGTTGACGCCCAGATCTCAGCTCCAGTCTGATACGCAGCTTGTGTTCAAGTTCGTTTTGGGGTGGGAGAAGTTCCTGCAGGTCTAACGTGTGAGATCTTGTCTAGTTAGCACGTTTCTAGGCTAATAAAATGTACCATGGTGATATCCCTGGAACTGGAACCAGCCGTGGTTTCTGTTCCAAATGGCACCCTATTCCCTATATACAGTAGTGCACTACTTTTGACCAGGGCCCATAGGGTTCTGTTCAAAAGTAGTGCACTATGTAGGGAATAGGGTGCCATTTGGGACACAGCCCTGGTCTCTGTGTTGGGGCGGGTTGGACTAATGAAATGATGGATGGTGTTAGGATGTAGAGGTCACATTGTTGATGTAGGAAAGAGACATCAGGTAACACCATACATGAATGGATAGACAGAGGAGAGGAAGAGGGTTCTGAGGCTGACCCAGAATTAATGCAATTAACAACAGGTTTATGCTGATATGATACAGTGCCTTCAGAAAGTATTCATACCCCTTGACTTATTCCACATTGAGTTGTGTTACATCCGGAATTCAAAATGGATTAAATTGATTTTTTCTCACCCATCTACACACAATACTTTCTGGGCAAGTCTCTAAGAGATTTGCACACCTGGATTGTATAATATTTACCCATTATTCAAAATTATTCAAGCTCTGTCAAATTGGTTGTTGATCATTGCTAGAAAACCATCATCAGGTCTTGCCATAGATTATCAATTAGATTTTCAAAACTGTAACTCAGCCACTCAGGAATATTCACTGTCTTCTCCAGTATAGATGTGGCCTTCTGTATTAGTTTATTGTCCTGCTGAAAGGGTAATTCATCTCCCAGTGTCTGGTGGAAAGCGGACTGAACCAGGTTTTCCTCTAGGATTTTGCAGGTGCTTAGCTCCATTCAGTTCATTTTATATATTGAAAAACTCCCAGTTTCCTTCTTTTCACTTTGTCAATTAAGTTAGTATTGTGGAGTAACTACAATGTTGTTGATCATCCATCCTCAGTTTTCTCCTATCACAGCCATTAAACTCTAACTGTGCTAAAGTCGCCATTGGCCTCATGGTGAAATCCCTGAGCGGTTACCTTCCTCACCGGCAACTGAGTTAGGAAGGACGCCTGTATCTTTGTAGTGACTGGGTGTATTGATACAACATTCAAGTGTAATTAATAACTTCACCATGCTCAAAGGGATATTCAATGTCTGCTTTTCTTTTCTTTTTTTACCCATCTACCAATAGGTGCCCTTCTTTGCGAGGCATTGGAAAACCTCCCTGGTCTTTGTGGTTGAATCTGTGTTTGAAATTCCCCGCTCGACTGAGGGACCTTACAGATAATTGTATGGTGGGGTAAAGAGATGAGGAAGTCATTCAAAAATCATTCACACAAATTTATGAAAAATGAAAAGCTGAAATGTCTTGAGTCAATAGGTATTCAACCCCTTTGTTATGGCAAGCCTAAATAAGTTCAGGAGTAAAAATGTGCTTAACGAGTCACATAATAAGTTACATGGACTCATTTTGAAAAACATAACTCCACTTTAACATTATGGGGTATTGTGTGCAGGCCAGGGACAAAACATCTCAATTTAATATATTTTAAATTCAGGCTGTAACAACAAAATGTGGAAAAGGTCAAGGGATGTGAATACAGTGCCTTGCAAAAGTATTCATCCCCCTTGTCATTTTTCCTATTTTGTTGCATTACAACCTGTAATTTAAATGGATTTTGATTTCATGTAATGGACATACAGTTAATAATCAAAATTGGGGAAGTGAAATGAAAAAAATAACTTGTTTCAAAAAATTCTAAAAAATCAATAACGGAAAAGTGGTGCATGCATATATATTCACCCCCTTTGCTATGAAGCCCCTAAATAAGTTCTGGTGCAACCAATTACCTTCAGAAGTCACATAATTAGTTAAATAAAGTCCACCTGTGTGCAATCTAAGTGTCACATGATCTGTCACATGATCTCAGTATATATACACCTGTTTTGAAAGGCCCCAGAGTCTGCAACACCACTAAGCAAGGGGCACCACCAAGCAAGCAGCACCATGAAGACCAATGAGCTCTCCAAACAGGTCAGGGACAAAGTTGTGGAGAAGTACAGATCAGGGTTGGGTTATAAAAAAATATCAGAAACCTTGAATATCCCACAGAGAACCATTAAATCCATTATTAAAAAATTGAAAGAATATGGCACAACAAACCTGCCAAGAGAGGGCCGCCCACCAAAACTCACAGACCAGGCAAGGAGGGCATTAATCAGAGAGGCAACAAAGAGACCAAAGATAACCCTGAAGGAGCTACAAAGCTCCACAGCGGAGATTGGAGTATCTGTCCACAGGACCACTTTAAGCCGTACACTCCACAGAGCTGGGCTTTACGGAAGAGTGGCCAGAAAAAAGCCATTGTTTAAAGAAAACAATAAGCAAACACGTTTGCTGTTCGCCAAAAGGCATGTGGGAGACTCCCCAAACATATGGAAGAAGGTACTCTGGTCAGATGAGACTAAAATTTAGCTTTTTGGCCATCAAGGAAAACGCTATGTCTGGCACAAACCCAACACCTCTCATCACCCCGAGAACACCATCCCCACAGTGAAACATGGTGGTGGCAGCACCATGCTGTGGGGATGTTTTTCCATCGGCAGGGACTGGGAAACTGGTCAGAATTGAAGGAATGATGGATGGCGCTAAATACAGGGAAATTCTTGAGGGAAACCTGTTTCAGTCTTCCAGAGATTTGAGACTGGGACGGAGGTCCACCTTCCAGCAGGACAATGACCCTAAGCATACTGCTAAAGCAACACTTGTGTGGTTTAAGGTTGAAACATTTTAATGTCTTGCAATGGCCTAGTCAAAGCCCAGACCTCAATCCAATTGAGAATCTGTGGTATGACTTAAAGGTTGCTGTACACCAGCGGAACCCATCCAACTTGAAGGAGCTGGAGCAGTTTTGCCTTGAAGAATGGGCAAAAATCCCAGTGGCTAGATGTGCCAAGCTTATAGAGACATACCCTAAGAGACTTGCAGCTGTAATTGCTGCAAAAGGTGGCTCTACAAAGTATTGACTTTGGGGGGGTGAATAGTTATGCACGCTCAAGTTCTGTTTTTTTGTCTTATTTCTTGTTTGTTTCACCCAAAAAATATTTTTAATCTTCAAAGTGATAGGCATGTTATGTAAATCAAATGATACAAACCCCCCCAAAAAATCAAATTTAATTCCAGGTTGTAAGGCAACAAAATAGGAAAAATGCCAAGGTGGGTGAATACTTTCGCAAGCCACTGTACCTTCTGAATGCAAGAAGCTGTGTGTGTGTGTGTGTGTGTGTGTGTGTGTGTGTGGTGTGTGTGTGTGTGTGTGTGTGTGTGAGTGAGCGAGCGAGACAGCGAAAGAGAGAGAGAGAGAATGAATACAGGAGTACAGCCTGCCACCTAAGACATCTAAATGCCCCCTATAATAACAACACACAAACAAATGTGGAAATAGATCCCTGATAATCATGATCCACTTATCCCCAATCGTTGTCTGTCTCACACCATAATCAAACACATACACACAACATCATCACATCTGCACACACACTCAACTAATCAAACACCTACACACACATCAAATCAGAGAAAGAGTGTGTTTGCGTGTGATGCCTGCGTGTGTGTGTGTGTGTGTGTGTGTGTGTGTGTGTGTGTGTGTGTTTGTGTGTGTGTGTCTCACCAGTTGGCAGTTGGTCATGGTGGAGACCAGCTGAGCCCCTTGACAGCAGAGGATGAAGCCGGCCAGGTTGAGGAGAACACACACCACTGACAACAGCACAAACAGATTCACCTGGGAGAGGGAGAAGAGGGGGATGGGGGGGAGAGAAGGGAGGGAGAGAAGGAGAGAGAAATATTCATGGAGATATTTGCAAAATATATCTCACAGCCTGATAGGAAAATTGCCCAAATCAGAGAGCATGTTAAAACTAAATCCCCATTAGGAAAATAATACAGAACCATAATATAGGGAGAGGGAAGAAAGGGAAGCTGAAAGAAAAAAGGGATACATATGTTTATGACGAAAGAGAAAGGCCCTCACAGCTGGCCTTGACTGGAAAGATAATTTACAGTGCCTTTACACCCCAGACTTTTTCCACATTTTGTTGTGTTACAGCCTGAATTAAAAAATGATACACTTTTTTTGTCACTGGCCTAAACACAATACCCCATACTGTGAAAGTGGAATGATGTTTTTCGATTTTTTTAACAAATTAATTAAAAATGAAAATGTCTGAAATACGTATTTAATCCCTTTCTTATGGCAAGCCTAAATAAGTGATTTTAGATTTTTTTTAATGACTACCTCATCGCTGTACCCCAGATATACTGCACAATTATCTGTAAGGTCCCCCAGTCGAGCAGTGAATTTCTGTACAGAATAAACATATTCCAAACAAGGCACTAAAATAATACTGCAAAAAATGTGGCAAAGCAATTCACTTTTTGTCCTGAATACAAAGTGTTATGTTTGGGGCAAATCGAATACAACACATTACTGAGTACCACTCTCCATATTTTCAAGCATAGTGGTGAAGAAACATCATGTTATGGGTATGCTTGTAATTGTTAAGGACAGGGGAGCTTTTCAGGATAAAAAAGAAACGGAATGGATCTAAGCACAGGCAAAATCCTAAAGGAAAACCTGGTTCAGTCTGCTTTCCACCAGACACTGGGAGAGGAATTCACCTTTCAGCAGGATAATAACCTAAAACACAAGGCCAAATCTACACTGGAGTTGCTTACCAAGAAGACAGTGAATGTCCCTGAGTGGCCGAGTTACAGTTTTGTCTTAAATCTGCTTGAAAATCTATGGCAAGACCTGAAAATGGTTGTCTAGCAATGATCAACAGCCAATTTGACAGAGCTTGAAGAATTTAGAAAAGAATAATGGAAATGTTTTGTACAATCCAGGTGTGGAATGCTCTTAGAGATTTACCCAGAAAGACTCTGTAATCGCTGCCAAATGTGATTCTAACATGTATTGACTCAGGGGGTTGAATTATGTTTTCAAATTTTTTATAAATGTTTTACAAATGTTAGAATTTTTCTTCCACTTTGACAGAGTATTTTGTGTAGATCGTTGACAAAAAAAGACAATTCAATCAATTTTAATCCCACTTTGTAACACAACAAAATGTCAAAAAAGTCAAGTGGTGTGAATACTTTCTGAATTGAATTTATTTGGGGAAAAAAATACATTTGAACAATGTATTCCCAGAGGATAGAACGTAAAAGTATTAATTAAAACACAATGGTAAAAACAAATAAAACATCTAATGATTAAAAGACAAAATTACAGATAAGAAAAGAAGATATATAAACACTGTTTGAGAAAAAGACCGAAAGAAGGAGAGGGAGAGGAGGGAAGACTAATACCAGCTTGTTGATAGCTGACATCATGGAATATACAGTGGCTCATTTAACTACACTGCTATTAGACTGACTTGATGTGAGTGTTGGTTTATAGTGGATGTAATTCAGAACATCCAAGGATATGTCAATCAATATGAAAATGGACCCCTTTACACAAATAGGGGGGCTCTGAAAAGATCAGACTATTTTAAGCGTGCCTCAAGCAGCAAAACAAGTCAAACCACTTCTCAAAAGGAGAACATTAAAAGAACAGTCTTTGACTCTCTATGACTCTGTGGGTCTCATGATCAGGAAGAGAAAGGGGGAGTCATGTGACAGTTGACCTCTGACCTCAGTTGAGAAAGAGTGGGGGGGGGGGGGGGGGATCGGTGTCGGTCACCTGGCGGTCGCGGGCATAAGGGAGGGGGTGGGTCGTATGCAGCCCACCCACCCCCTCTCACAGTGAGGCTGAGGGGTATTTATACTGGGGCTGAGACTGGGACGCATGGTGACCTGTGTCTCTGTCTCTCTTTAGGTCTGTCGCTGTCTGTCTGTCTGCCTGTCTGTCTCTCCGTGTCTCTATAGTGGGGCTGAGTTGAAGCTGGGGCTGAGACTGGGACGCATGGTGACCTGTGTCTCTGTCTCTCTTTAGGTCTGTCGCTGTCTGTCTGTCTGCCTGTCTGTCTCTCCGTGTCTCTATAGTGGGGCTGAGTTGAAGCTGGGGCTGAGACTGGGACGGATGGTGACCTGTGTCTCGGTCTCTCTTTAGGTCTGTCGCTGTCTGTCTGTCTGCCTGTCTGTCTCTCCGTGTCTCTATAGTGGGGCTGAGTTGAAGCTGGGGCCGAGACTGGGATGCATGGTGACCTGTCTGTCTCTCTGTGTCTGTCCCTATCTGTCTGGCGACAGCGGCCATGGAAATCACTCAGGTCAGAGGTGGGGCTCTGTGGTCTCTTTGTGACTGGGAGGATACAGTCACTCATTTGTCCTAACTCAGTCAGTGTGTGTCCGCTCTCGCTCTCTTGCTTTCTCTCTCACACAGGACAGACACACACAAACACACAGCCTGCAGGACAGACAGCTCGACTCCCGATTTCACCCTCAGGCAAGCGCCAACTCCCCAGTTCCAACTGAACACTCACTCTTCCAGTTTCCTGAAGTCATGAACTAAACCGGATCCTGATAGGCAATTGAGGGGATTAAGACTACGACCCTCTTTACACTAATAAGAGTATTTCCCCAAGGAGTAGGCTATCTCTGAAAATACATTATTGATGTTAATCTGTTGCATTAAAGGTGCACTATGCAGAAAAATAGCTCCGCCATTTCCTGGTTGCTAAAATTCGAATAGTTAGCCTAATTTCAGTTTATGTAATAAAACAAGCAAAAACAGTATAGTGTAGAGAATCATTGTAGCATCTAAACCCCTGTGGAATTATATTTTCAATAACCAAAAATATTGTATTTTCAGCTGCTTGAAGCTGGTGTACAAAACTGAAAGTAAAAGACGCAAAAACTAAACTTAAGCATAGAAATAGTGCACATAGAACATACAGTATCTAACGCTTCTTAGACTTGCTTTCAATGAGAATGACAGATCTATAACTCAGATTTCTATGTGAATTTGGTTGGGTACCCCAAAAAGATACATATTAAAGCTTTAACAGAACTATTGCTCAAAATATACTGTATTGTGTGACACCTCCATTTGTAACATGCTACTATACACACTGGTAACATTCTGGGGTAATAAAAAAGGCCCACCTAGTGGAATCTACATTTTGACAAATATAGTATAGGAGTAAAGGAGTTTGAGAAAAGCATTTTAAAATATTGCTGTGAGCAGCAATGAATGGGGTTCACAGGATGACAGAAAGGACACAAGATCAGTTGAATAACAAAGCTAGCACTCTATCATGTAGGAACTATCTTCCTTTATGTGCAATCAGTGAAAGCTGATTGGTTTGTACACTCCACATTTACGTTCCAAAATACTTCAATACACTCTCAGAGTTGTAATACGCTGACTGCGCAAACGGCAGGACTTCCAGTTACTAATTTTACTGAATACAATATACAATTTTCACTATGTTCAGACCACATAATATGGCAATAATATATGATTATACAGATCACGATATTTGATGTTGTTCGTCTGCATAATTTAAATCTAACATTCATTTGCATGAGGCAAAGTCCACTTGATCAATAGTTATTGCTCTAGTATCCCATTGTGCCATCTAACATGTTCAGGGAATGCATGATCTTTTGTAGGATCCAGAATGATCCGATTTTATTTTTGCTCTTAACACTAGAACAGCTGGGTCTCGATAGACCCCCTTTCAAGCTAATGACTGCAACATTCTAACTGTGTATTTCATACATGCTATCACAAAAATTATAATTTGGCTGTGTTTATGAAGGACTTGGGTAACATTAGAATGAGATTTTTTATTTTATTTCAAATAAAACATTAGCATTTTCATTAGTTTAAGTTACTGTAGGCTATATGTAAAAACAAAAAAAAATTATGGCGAAAATTCAAGTGTTCAATCAATTTTATTTGTGGAGTGCCTTTGTTACAATTATAAAACATAAAGCATGTGTTGGAGCACGCTAACAGCTTATTTTTATAACGACAAAATAAAAATAAAAATACCCCAACCACCAAGATGCACAGTCAAGAGACGCGAGGTCAAATGATGAAAACATCAGTAGCCTAAACATCATTATAAGTGCCAATTGGCCTTAATAGATCGTGAAACTTGGCACAAAAACAATAAAAGTCAATTATTGTCAGCTTGTGCTTATATTGTGAGCATCTTCACGCAATGGCATCAGTTGGATTTCATTTAGCTGTTATCCCTTGTCCTCAGTTTCACTTGCTTGACACACTTTGTTTGGCTGTAGTGTGTAATAGTCCCTGTTTTTCTCTTTATTGTGTACCATTGTCATTCTTCAGCACCGTTGCAACGGCTGTGCAGGTGCCTTATTTTGCGCAGAGGGAGCTCCCGTCATACTTTTTTCATGGTGCTGGACAGATGTTTTTTCTTTGCATGCAAATTGTTCGCCAATGACAGTGAAGTTAAGAAATTGCTCATGGTGACATTTCTCCCCTTGCCAACGTAAGGTTCCACAAGCCCCATCACCACATTTTCCGACACTAGCTCACCTGCTGCCCGATGTGGATAAAAGTTACCAATCTATGCTTGAGTTATTTGATCATGTCAAGGATTATTTTTTTAAAGAATAACGATAGGTTTAGCTGTGAAAATAGAAAATAGAAATCATAATCATTCATGTCCATGTAAAGACTCAAAATACTCAGTCAAGACAGAGTAGAGCAGGGTTTCCCATCTGAACTCTTATCCCATCTGAACTCTTATCTCTGACCTGTATGAGCAGTCAGGGGTCAGCTAGATTTTGTTCAGGTGTCTAGTGCAACTAGGGGTAGGATTTGAGAAAACTGGTAAAAACAGTTTGTGTTTCTAAGAGGCTTTAATACCGCCTCTACAGAGAAATCAAACACACCAGATTACAGGGTTTTAAGGATTTGGGAGGACAGGGAATGTGACTACATGATAAATCCATTTGAATTCAACCACTTTTTGACAGCATCCCTTTTAATTTAAACAAAACTTTCTATACATGTTTGCCCATGGAAGAAGTGGTCAGAAAGTGACTTTTTGGACCTGAATGACAAAATATTCTAGAGATATAGGTGCTCAAAGTTTACCCATTTTGTATTCCCCGCCATACCAGGAAACATCCATGTCTTCATCACTGGAAAATATAAACGGTTGAGTTTGATATCATTTAAAAGCTTACAAACAATGTTGTCAAACTATTGAATTATTTCTTGAAAAAAATATTTTCAATAATAATGTCATTTTTAAACCTTTAACGTCAATGATCTAAAAACGTGTAAACTCCGGTCTTTTTTCATATTTGCATATGTTGCAGCTTTGACCCCATTTCACATCATCTGAGGTATTTGTGTTGTGCTCGCCATCGGTTGACAAAACATGCTCTTGAATACAGGTTGGCTGTCATTTCAATCATAGAAATATAATTAATAGAATGGACCTATCCCTTCATATCACTGCAATTTAGCTGGTAAAATATTCAAATGTAAATTGAATTAAAATGTTAACTTCTAATTACTACAACGAAGATGACCGCCGGTCCACCCACCGTCGAATGTCAACTTAAATGGTTACGTCTATTCTAATATCTATATTTCTATGATTTCAATAGGTTTCCTATGGAGCATTGAAAGTATAATTTTAAACTACTGATATTTCCATTCAAGTCAGAATTCTCTGGTGTGTGGACCTCCAACCATCTTTGTGGAACCATCTTTGTGGAAGCACAATGTTTCCCAAAGAAGAGCACCAGATGAGTCTGAATCTGCATATTGTGTTGGGGTAAATTGTCACACCCTGGTTCTGGGACTCCATATGTTGAGCCAGGGTGTGTTCATTCTATGTGGTTTATTTCTATGTTGGGGGTTCTAGTTTGTTGATTTCTATGTTTTGCCTGAGTGACTCCCAATCAGAGGCAACGAGTGTCAGCTGTTGGCTGGTTGTCTCTGATTGGGAGCCATATTTAAACTGTATGTTTTCCCTTTGTGTTTGTGGGTTTTTGTTCCGTGTTCGGTCATTGATACCGTGGACTTCACGAGTCGTTTCTTGTTTTGTATTGTGTTCACACTTTAACTAATTAAAGTATGTTTGTTCATCACGCTGCGCCTTGGTCTATTCCCTACGACGATCGTGACATAAATTGGGGATGAACCATGGTGTTGGGGTAAATTGGGGATGAACCATGGTGTTGGGGTAAATTGGGGATGAACCATGGTGTTGTGGTAAATTGGGGATGAACCATGGTGTTGGGGTAAATTGGGAATTAATCATGGTGTTGGGGTAAATTGGGAATTAATCATGGTGTTGGGGTAAATTGGGAATTAATCATGGTGTTGGGGTAAATTGCGGATGAATCATGGTGTTGTGGTAAATTGGGGACCAGATTGGGTTTTTGATACACAA